ACCACAATAAGGAAGTAAATCCGCATGCATAAAAGAGTGCTTGTGTTTAATGCCAGATATAAATGAATGATTGAATGAAAGAGGTAGAAAAAATGACATTTTCTGACAGAATTCATTTTAAATAGTTGGTAAATATTTTGATCCAGATTTTATGTGAATAAGTAATTTTTAGGGTTTTTCTACATGACAGAATTCACATGGTTCCGGCCGATTACTGAAATTTGTCAGATTGATATATTTTGAACAAAAATGCCGCATGACCCCTAGTTTGCTATAGCTGTAATTATTTATCTTGGATGATACTGTAAGCACAAGTGATCTTGATTTGCTTAGATAGTTAGTAAAATTGCCACATGGTTTAATGTTTATATAGAACATATAGTGAAATTAATTGTTGTCTGAGGCCTGATTTAACGACACTGGTTATTTTCCATCCTCTTCCCGGTATGATATGTGCATTTATAGCACAATTTAACAATTTCAAAAGATCGAACAATATGGCGGAAGTATACATTTAACCTTGCAACAATCAATATTAAGCAATAGTATAATACAATTCAAGTGTTCACAATTGAGCATCGTACATGTATAATAAAATATAATGTTACATGTTTTTGTAACTATATTATTTTCATGTGAAATATTTTTATTGTCAAAACAACAATAATGTTTGTTTAGCAGACATCTTAAACAAAATAGTATCACTATTTAACTCAACAACTTGATTTGTTCAGCCTGCATGACCAATTTACTGACATTGCTACCAGTTCTTTATATGTTGATGATCGTCAATATATTCTTTGAACATATGATATACTTCTTTTATATATTTTTTTCATTTGTTTCCATTAATTAATTTAATTCAAAATTTGATGGCATTTATTATAAAACCTAATATTCTGTAAAGATAATTTTCCTAATTCTGCATAATGTAAACAACCAACGACGGCAGGAATATCTCGAAGACTGCTTAATATTCCGAAAAAAAATGGGTAAACATAGAGGAATAATACTATTTATTATAATAAGATGTGTTTAAATGAAGGAGAAACAACTTTTGTAACTCATGTATAATACATAGATATCAATATTACATATACTTTTCGATTTATTACTAACCTTGTTTGGGTTTTATTTGCTGATAGTTTATAATTATATTTATTAACATTTGCATTACTTCATACAAATATGATAATGCATTTTCTCGTAACTGTCATCACTATATATATACAGTAGGGTGAACGTTTCAGTTTATACGCAAAACGCACGCTCTGGAAAAAACGCACACACGTTACACGCTATACGATCTAACGTTATACGCAATACGTTATACGTTATACGAAATAATATCTCATATACACTAACGCCATATATTAGATCCATATCAGTTATTAAATATTTTGACAAAACGGCGCCAATCCGTAAGCATCGTAATGACGTCATCCTAAGTAAACAACTCATTCATAAACAAGTTGACGTTATTTCATACATACAAGAATGATAAATGGGGCACTTATGTAAACACAAAACGACGTAAGTTTTTATTGTTGAAAACTTGATAAAATAACGTTTTTTTTTCTTATTATTTCTTTTGGTTAATAATTTCTACATCTTCGCAACAGTAGGGTGCGAAAATCGAACAGCGTTATACGAAAATCGACACCGGAAGTAATTTCCGCTTGAATAATAACATTAGTGATTTTCCTTATTTTATCGTGTTAGAATCGAAATAACATCGTCCTGAGAGGTGTATATCGGCTATTTAACACCGGTTTTGTCGTTTTGATGCGACAAAATTAACCACTCAGGCCTACGGCCTTCGTAGTCAATTCCTACGCATCAAAACTCCAAACCGGTGTTAAATAGCCGATATTCACCCCCAGGAAGATGTTATTTCTTAAACAAACCATTGCTATTCTGACTCATGCACTCACAACATATTTGCTTGTTTTCCATGTGCATGGCATCACGAGCTAAATGTATTGCCCTCGAACCGTCGGAATTATTCGTGTCGACGTCTTTGTTACTAAAATAGTTTCATTGTTTAAATTGCATTGTATGTTTTATTGATACTAGTGCAAAACATAGACGTTATCTTGTTTTTAAGGTTTACGAGAAAAAAGCTTTTAAATAATACCAAAAGAAGGCTCAAAATAATCTAACTCATTATTATTATGTGTCACCCTTTCTCTTTACAAGGTAAGTATAATAATACTTTGTGTAAAAGGATAAATTGTATGGGCCTGTTATTGTCGCTTAAAGTAGATATACAAAGTATTGAAATCTTCATATTTGGATATTGCAGTTTTGATTTTATTGACCATTCAATACAAGTAGTTTCACCTCAGAGGGATTTTTCCAACGTAGGCATAAAATGTGAACATTAGTTGTTTGACACAACGACTAAATAAAACATTCTTTATTATGATGAAAGTAAATTAATATGTGAATTTAAATAATTTTGCAACAAAAATGGGATATCAAATCAGAAAAAATATTTATAAAGATTAAAAAAATGATATTTTATGAAATGCATGACAATATGACCAATTGTTGTTTACATATGCATTATAAAACTAGATGCATTTTAAATCCTTAAAATAACGAATTGTGTGCCTGTGGTTTTCGCTTAGTTATCAGAAATATTCCAGTGTTGACCGAATTTGCACTTCCTTTAGCAATAAGCAAAAATTTCTTAAATTGATGTTTCTTTACCTTAGGCCAGTTGTGTACGAATTTGACATATCAACATGACATTTTGCAAGTTTTTATTTTTTTAACTGAGTGAGAATAAAATAGCATAACAGTTCTTTCTTTGTATATATAATAGCATTGTTATTGACGGAAGATTGAAAGCGTATATGTATAAGGAAGTGGTTAGGAACAAAAAGACTGATTACATCAAGGAAGTTCAGTTACGACAGAGAATTTTATAAAAGAAAGGAAAAAAAATGATATCAAAATAATTTTGATTAGTTATGAGTAACTAACTGTAACATAGTCGATAACAAAAGTTTTAACATTAAATCTGACAAAATAAATTGCATTGTGAATAACAATGAATATTACAAAATAATGTAATCAAATTGCAAATAACATTTTGTTTTAGAAAAAATCGAGTATGTTCCAGTCAGTCAGAAAAAAGTGATATTAAATTTAAAGTTATTGTTAACAGATTGTTGGTTAATCTTTATATCGAAGAAACCTACTTATAAAACACACTTCACTAATTATAACAAATATACACACAATAAACCGGCGAAACATTTGTTTCATCCGGAAAAAAACGTACCGAACCTTTATCAATAAGCTATTAAATAAGTTTATATATTTGATTAGTTTAAAAACTTACGTTGTCTAACTGTGTTGCCTTAAAATTTTTCTATCGGTATAACTGTGTCCCTTCGTACGAATTCGAAAATATTAACTATAACATGTAAACCACATAATAATAGACTTATGGAATTTTAAAAAAATATCACTAATTATTTTATATATGTAATAATACTTTTACAACTGAACAATTATTGGGATGACATCATTATATTCCCGAAACGAAGTTTGGGGGGGGGGGGTATATGGTATATAGGAGCCACCCGGTGGTCGGTCGGACCTTCAGTTGGTCGGTCGGTTGGTCGATCAGTGGGTCGGTCCAGTGGTCCGTTGAATTTTGCTTGTCCGGAGCATAACTTAAAGACTAATGTTTGGAATTCAATACAACTTAATACAATGGTCAAGCACATTGAGAGGAAGTGAAGTGCACAAAAACCATAACTCCATTTTCACTAATTACATAGTTATCACGCTTTGTTACTTTTCCTTGTCCGGAGCATAACTTGAAAAGTACTAGTTGGAATTCAAAACAACTTCATACAATGGTCAAGCATAATAAGGGAAAGTGCTGTGCATAATAACCATAACTCTATCTAAAGTAATTACAAAGTTATTGCCCTTTGTTACTTTTCCATTGCTTTCTTTTGGCCGGACCATACTTTGAAGACTAGTGGTTGACTTCAATATAACTTCATACAATGGTCAAGTATATTGAGAGGAAGTGCAGTGCACAAGAACCATATCTCCATCTTGACTAATTACAGAGTTATAGCCCTTTGTTACTTTTCCTTGTCCGGAGCATAACTTAAAAACTACTGATTAGAATTCAAAACAACTTCATACAATGTTCAAGCACATAAGAACAAGAATCATAGATATATCTAAAGTAATTACAGAGTGATTACCCTTTGCTACTTTTCCATTGCTTTATTTTTGTCCGGAGCATAACTAAAAGACTAAAGATTGGAATTTAATACAACTTTATACAATGATCAAGCACATTGAGAGAAAGTGCAGTGAATACTAACCATAACTTATTTTTGCAAATTACAGAGTTATTGCCCTTTGATACTTTTCCTTGTCCGGAACATAACTTGAAAAGTGCTGTTTGGAATTTAAAACAACTTCATACAACGGTTAAGCACAATAAGAGGAAGTGCAGTGAATAAGAACCATAACTCTGTCCAGAGTAATTATAGAGTTATTACCCTTTGTTACTTTTCTATTGCTTTTTCTTGTCAAGAGCATAACTTGAAAACTACTTGTTGGAATTCAATACAATTTCATACAATGGTCAAGTATATTGAGAGGAAGCGCAGTGCAAAGAAACCTTCACTCTTTCTAGACTCATTTAGAGTTTTTGCCCTTTGTTATTATTTATTGTCCAGTGCATAACTTGAAATTTGATGGTTGGAATTCAATGAAACTTCATACAATGGTCAAGGGCAGTGAGATAAAGTGCAGTGCACAAGAACCATAAAACTCTTTTTGGACAATTACAGTTATTGCCCTTTGTTACTTTTTGTCCAGTGCATAACTTGAAAACTACATGTATTGATAATATTTGTCAAACGTTTTGGGTCATGACAAATTTGAATGAACTTCTATTAAAACGTAAAGCGTGATCTTAGGCGTCATCTTTGTGTGCTAGGAGGCGTGAGGGATGTTGCACATTTTCATTATACCTTATGTACAGACTCAATCAAACCGAATCTGCAGTTTTCGTCTGGTTTTGTTGTTTTTAATGCTTCGGAGGGATCGCCACTTTTCTCTTATAAATGTATAGACTTGATACATGTGCAAAATATGTGCAGGTTTAAGATTGAACAAAAAATTGTATTGAATGCGGCTTTAACTTCAAGTTACACAAGCCATGCTTAATTTTTTCTTCAAGCTCAAACTGAAACCAAGGAAGTGCCTTATTAATACAAAAACCCTCATAAGTGAACTTAATGAATTGTTTTATTTTTAATGATTTGACATTATTTATGTATCAATAAAATCAGCGGTACTCGACGCTTAAGACTTTGACATTATTTATATGAAACTCCCATGGATTGATCGTTGTTAAAATGAGCGCCTATCTTGTCCATCTGTTGCTTCAAATATCAGAAGTAAGCACTAAAACTATGAATGTCTATTTCAAGTTTATTTTGAAGTTAAAGCAAAAAGACGAATGTACAAGTTGATTGTGATTTGTTCGGTTAAAATGCCAAATTTACTTTTTCTCTGTTCAGTTATGTTTGAGAGTAGGTTCTACATAAAGCATTAAAATTGATGATATAACCCTAACAAATAGTTAAAATAAAATGAAATAAAAAGAAACTTAAACAACAAAATCTTTACATAAAAAAAGCAATTTTACAATAAACAATTTTACATAAGAATCTATATGGACACAACAAGAAATATAACCACAACAATAAAAAATTGTATCTAATAAAAATTTAATAAAATCTAATAAAGTTTCTTTTTATCATAATTGAATACATGTATAATTGAATATAAGAAAACGAGACTGCCATCATTGCAGTAAATTGCTGAGATAAATTCCACTGCATTTGAGTAAAATAAATACGAGTTTGCTAGACAATATCTAGACAAAACTAAATGTCTCGTGCTTTGCAAGAATAAGTTAAAAGATTTTCACTTAATACACGCATGTAAGATAAAGTGCCCAAAGGGCGAGACAAATTTTTACCTTATGAACTGAACAAAAATGGTGTACTACACAATGCTACACAAAAAATACTACTATAATGCATTCTATTTAAAAAAATAAGTTTGTGTAAAAAAACTAGTGATCCCCGAGGCGTAGCCAGGTTGGTCCCAAGTGTCAGGAATTAAGGCACACAAATTACGATTTGAATAAACTTGTAAAGGGTTAACTGCGCAACGATACATTTGATAGGCTGTTCCCAACCCACTCCGTTTCAGTGACAACATTTGTTTGCTATGCTGTTACGATATTCAATAAATTAAGCGATAACATTTAAACATAACATTATTGTCTCAGCTTCAAATTAACTTGCATTCATATCCTGTCATGATTGATTGTTTATATGTTATATATATGCCATTTATCTTCAAAATCAAATATTGTCTGCAATAAGTCCGCCATTTTGTTATCTATAATTATATCGTGACGTCAATATTAACCAAGTTTTTACGGGGAGCCCTACTTTCATTTTGACGTTATGTTCACAAAGGAATCATATAAATAGACTGAATTTTAATTAAAAGGGTAATAACGGAAAAGATAATTGAAAAAATAACGAAAAGTGATAAATGAAAAGATAGCAGATAAAAATTGAAGAAAGCTTAAAAAACATTGATAGAAAATGAGAGATAATGAGTTAAAGGTATGATAAGAAATATGTATACTTTTGTACATGTATTTGCTAATTATTAGAGTAAAACGAACTGCAATTAACCGGTTTCATTTTGCAAAACACTTTGGCAGAGCTTCATTCAAGGAATATAGGTGAGTTTAATATTTTCATGCAATGTGGTTAAAGAGGAAGTTTCATTTTAAACAATTGTAAATGGTGGTTTGGCAAAGGGCAAAAGAAAGCTAACCATGTTGCTGTGTTGGGTTTTTAAAGTCAGAATGACATAACGACTTGAGTTCAGCTTGAGTGCCGGATGAGACTCAGGTAAAATATTTATATCAGTAATCAAAGTATATTTGTCAAATCGCAAATAAGTAAGCACATTATAATAAAAACTAATTCACAAAACATATTAAGGTTATTATAGGGGCATGTAATATTTTCATAATGACAAAAATGAAAGCTGTATAAAAGAGCTTGTTTAAATATAGCATGATCTTAGAACATATATATAAAAAAACAGAAACATTTTAAGCGAACACAATTTATTTCTCGAGATTACTTTTGAATTTTGTGCCCAAAATTTGTAAAATTTGCGTCGCTATTTTAAATCTTAGGACATATTCAATACTTAAAATATTTATAATGTCAACAAATATCATATATTTATCTAACTTATAAAACCAATATCAAAATCAGATAAAAGTCCTTGATGTATATTATTATAAAAAACGGAAACTGTAAAAATTAAAACAAACGAACTAATAATAAAAACAAATATTAAATAAGTTACGTGACTATAATTTATACAGCGATTAAATATTTTATATCAACAACATACAAGAAACATCAAATAAACACATACAAAATATACAAAAAGTATAATGTAAATTTACATTACAAATAATCCAAAATCAAATTACCGTTAATACTAAAATTATGTAGGCGAATAGAAATTTTAGATATATGACATTATTTCAAGCACGCATGATCTATCAGTATAAAATGAACAAAATAATGACTATCTTGACTTTAATCAGAGGTAAACGTCAGTGACACCATAATCTAGTTATGATTACGTTGTTAACAACAGCAAACACGATACAGTAGTAATGAATACTCACACTAACATGGAAATGTTTACAATAATTAAAAATAAATATACAAACAACAATACTAACTACGTTTATAACAACAAGACAGTTTAAACAGCAACTCGTATACTAACAATAATCTTTATATTCTTTTTTCTACATTTGTCTGCACTATACAACATGTCATGATAGCTCGCACACGTAATGTTAGTATCATTTAATTTGTTGGGAAAGATACTTATATTTCATTTCCTTACTCATCAATACTCATCAATATAACGTATATTTCTATACTTTATTCAACAAACCTTTTCGTATTATTCAAATATATCTTCCTTAGAAACAATGTACACACAATTTTGTATTTTTTAACTTTTTCGGAAGCGTTTATTCTTTCGATTTGCACCTTGCGATCATCTTTCGAAGAAGACATCCATATTTATACATAGTATCCGCTTTCTTTTTATCGTCGTCCACAATGGTCATTTTTGTATCCAGAACAATAATTGGTCTTTTTGCCTGTGGCGAAAAAGCAGAAGATTTAATGATCTTAATTTGTATAAATGAAACAAGAGATCATAATGAAAGTTTTAGTAGTCTTAAAAAAGCCATAATCTAAATGTACCACATCGAGAAAATCAGTATACTGTTTGTTTAATGTCGGATACACACTAATGGCTAAATTAAATCTAGGAAAATTACAATAAATAACTTTTAAGAGCATCCCTTTTACTTTAGAAAGCTAAAGAAATATTATCAAGTCATTGCGTGTGTCGTTAAACAAAAACCTGCTCAACGTAACCTTTTGTAATAAGAAATACTAAAATTTAGAACCCAAATGTTATCGCCTTACTAGGCTCTATAAAACATGTTCTTAATGAAATAATAAGAAGACAACGAAAGTAGAACCAAATAAGCATCAATTTGAAATGTGTATAAAATAAAGTATTATCAGATAGATTTGCATAAATTTTGAGCCATACCTTTGTGTTTCTGTATCGGATGAAAATGTTGGTTTCTGAAAGATTCTCAACGGTAATAGATGAATTATGAAGAAGATCTAGATAATTGGCAAGTTGATAAGATATTGCAGTTACACTTGCTACAGACATGTTTTCATCAAGCACATCCTTGATCATTCTTGTCTTCCCACCTGGCACAAGTTCTCGTTTAGTTCTAACCGATCGACTAAAATCTGTGTACTGCAAGATAGCCGAACCTCTTTCTAAAAAGAGATTTTTTATAACTCATTTTTTTATCTTTTAAATAGGTTTTAACATTCCTCGTTATCTAATCAAAATTGTGCAGACTTTTAGAAAAAGTAGGTGCTTATTCACTTGATAGTTTTAAAGTTCTGAAGGAGCGTGTAACAGAATGAAACTGAATGCAATCTTGCATTTCTAAATTCATAAAAAATGAATTTAATTTGCTGCAAACGTATCTAACTATAACGCGACAGTCCGAAAAATTCCAAAAATATAAACAATAAAGTGATAAACGGTCATTTTTAAGTAGCATTTTAAATGACAATCATTTGTGTCCGGTTGTCGACGCAAACATTTGCTAGAAAAAAAATTAAACAAGCTTAAAAAGCTGTATACATATACATAAGCAAACTGCGGAAAAATATTTGTATAATGGTACAATCGGTTCTGGTTGGATGACTTATCACGCAAATCATTGTTTCAAGTACAGCTGTATGAAAATATAAGTATGTGCAAAAGGTGAATAATGTGCAGAGTGACTTTTTTTTCTCTGATTTTACATACTGCAGCTTATTCTTACAGACATAAATTGGTACGTTTGCATAAAATATGTACAAATGACTTTGGCAATAAGGTGATGTCACGTATGTTAACGCGCTTCAAGTACCACATAGTACTGATGTTAAATGTTTTATTAAAATTCTTCAATATAAGTTATATTTGATTAAAATGTCAGTCGTGTATCTGGTGACGGTTTCATTTTTTATAAAAAGTTTAGGTATCTGGTGATGGATTCATATTTTATTAAAAGATTAGGTAATAAAGCAAATGAATGAATGACATGAATGAACTTAAATCTTTTGAGTTCTAAGTTTGTCTATTTCACAGTAATGTGTTAAGTTTCCCTGCATAGTAAGGCAATTATGTTTATACAACCTTGTCATATTATTACGATGTGGGATTTTAAAGTAAATCCTATAAGGAATGAAGAAGTTGGAGTAAAAAATACCAATTTCTTGAAAAAATCTAAGTTCAAGGGGGACATAATTCTGGAAAAAGTCTTGCTAGAGTATTTAACCTTCTCAAAAATGTTGAGTGATAATAAGAAACATATATATGAAGTTTGAAGTAGATACATTAGGAAATAAAGAGGTTATTTAAAAAAGACAACATTTTTTTTCATAAAAATTCTAAGTTCAAGGGAGGTAATACTGATAATTTTTGTGCTAGAGTTGTAAACCTTGTCACATATGATGTGGTTCATGACCAGAAACATTTATTTAAAGTTTGAAGTAAACACCTTAAGAAATAAAGAACTTATAGTGAAAAAGCTGAAAAAATTAAATCAGAAATCTTGAAATCCAGGCTATTTGTTGCCATAGCAACCAGAATTTTCAACATAGGAAGAAAAGAAAAAGATGTGCATAATCTGCAGACTGCCATCTACCCATATTTTATGTTTCATAAAAATATTTTCAGTACTTTTTGAGTTATCACTGGATCCAGTTTATGTGTTAAATTTGCCATATTTTCAGACTATTTGTTGCCATAGCAACCAGAATTTTCAACATAGGAAGAAAAGAAAAAGACGTGCATAATCTCCATACTGCCATCTATCCATATATCAAGTTTCATAAAAATATTTTCAGTACTTTTTGCGTTATCGCGGGATCCAGTTTTGTGGACGGACGGACTGACTGACAGACAGACAGACAGGCAGACGGACAGACAGACAGACAGACAGACAGACGGACGGAGGGTAAACCTAAAGTCCCCTCCGGTTAAACCGGTAGGGCACTAAAAAATAGAATCGAAATAATGTCTTCATAATTTTTTAAGCATGAGTAATTATCACTGTATTAAAGAATAAATATTTTTCAAGTTACACAAGCCTACCTCTCTCAATTTCAGTTCTGCTCTGCTCCTCTACACTTGGATTAAAAGTCTGAAATACATCAGTAGATATTTCAATGTTCAATACATACAAACTTGTAATTTTTGACAAAAAAATAATATGTCATACCTACATATTATTCTTTCAGTCGAATCAATTTCCATATTAGCTTAAGATTCTTTAATGGCAATGTGTTAGAATTCTGAACGTTTTTGACCTGTCAAATAAGTCATCGCTTTTAAAGTTTTCCAGCAGTTAAGTTTTAACAAAATGTGTTATAACAATCATTGTGATTAACACTACAAATAATAAAATTTTATAAAATTGGTACCTTTTTCCCAATTATAGCCGAAAGTGTGTATAGAAATGGATTTAACGCCGAGTTCAAAGGAAGTATGAACACTGCTGTCCATGCATAAACATCACCAGAGATTACGTGTCCATTCAATGACATAATCCCTGGAATATAGAGATAATCCGTCGTATTTCGTTGTTTTTTTATGAAAAGAAAAACATTTTACCAATTCTATCAAATATAGAATATTAATATTTCGATTTTGATTCGTTACCGAAAACGAGATGTTTTTTTTTAAATAATGTATATATTTGAAAAATTCCCCTACCTGGAACAGTTTCGAAAAAAAAAACATTACATTTAAATTGACAACTATAATAAAAGGTTAATATAAAAGTTTTTGTAATAAATGATATTAATTCGTTTTTTTGTGAATTATATCAAGTGATATCACACTTTATTCAATCAATGCAAATTCATCTAAGAAATTAACGAATTATACCAATTGCATTCTCAAAATAAGATGTTTCGTTCAATTTGATCGGGTATACAGTTATATCGTCAATTTGAAAATAAATAACATATATGAAGTATTCTATCTTATTTGCGTTTATACTCTTGGTAAACACTTAAATTGCCATTGTGTGCAATTTACAAAGCAATTTATCAAACATTATGAAAACACATAAATGTTCTCCAGATTACTGATTTATTAAGGTCGATATCATACATTTCATTTTCTAAACAGTAAATAGAAGTCAATTGGCATGTATATATTCTTCTTTAAATAGGGTACGCGATAAAACTGATTTTTTTTTGTTTCAGCAAATATCAAAAACGATTTTTCTGAAAATTGTTTACAATTGACAGATCCCTGCTCTGACCATTTATTTTAATACCAAAAGAGTTAACCAAAAACATAGACCTTGGCTCTATTGTTCACATATATGTTGTGATAAATTTCTTTCTGATAATAAGAGTAATATAGGTCCGGGATCTATGCATTTCCCAACAAAACGTTGATAGTTTCATAATTGTGAGTATAAGCAATTGTTAACTCTATCTTATTGTTCGGCATAAACCAACGAGATCGGTATATACTTATTATATTACCCATAAGTCCTATTGGAAACCAGCAAAGGAAATCGGTTGTTGCAACAAGGATAAGATTTTTGGCTACTTGCAGATCCCTTTTTCTTGATTTCTGTGTTTTCTTGCCACCCATGCTAGATTTTCGAAGTTCCAAGAAGATTGACAACTGACCAAATGCAACAAGGATAAAGGTTCCGAAATTTAACCCGACAAATATTGACACGGAATACATCCAGCCCGGAGGTTTATCACGTGACAAAGGTAGTGCAATGCATACTCCAGATCTGGAGTAGAACTTGTTCTTGAAATAGCTTGTGTGAAAAATAGGAACAGCCGCCAAAGTAGTTGCAATTACCCAGCAAATGCAACAGCAAATATTCGCGCTCTTTGGTGTAAACCTTACGTGTCCAAAAGGATATTTGATTACAAGAAGTCTATCAATTGTTATTAGGCACAAGAAAAAGACGCTTGCTTCAGAAGAAACTGTTGACAAAAATCCGGTCAGGGTACACCATATGCTGTTTCTCCATTGGTCATCCATGTAAATATACCTGTTAAAAAGATATTTCAAATGAAAAATATATTTGACAGGGGAATATAAAACAATATATATACAAATAATACATTTCTTTTTCTATATATATAGATAGACAAACATACAAAGAAAAGATATCAGTTACCTGCTTCGATAAACGGAATCAACACATGCTATCACTATAAGATATATTCCCATTAAGAAATCAGCGGATGCCAAATTCGTCACAAATATTCCATAACCTATTTTTAGTCTTTGTCTGTCGTACACAATTCGATAAACAATTGATCCGAGATTTCCAAATAACGAAGCTAGCCCCACAAGCCATAAAACTGCCTGCAGAATTGGATGTCTCATTAGGTCATCGCAAGAAGAAAACTCATTTTTTGGAGGATAACAGTTTCTTTCTTTGACATAACATGGACGTATGCAGCAAAATTTATACGCAGGTGTACGTAATTCGTTTAGTGAAAAAACATCTTTAAAAATAAACTTATGAAATTTAATGATTTTGTTACCTTCAAAGTTAATCTTATTAACAGATGTATTGCTAAATGCATAATTTTCAATTTCACAAATGTCATTGTTTGATATATCAATATTTTGCAATTTCAAATTTGAAAATGTAAGTGTTGAAATTTTCTTCAATTTAGTTCCTGATATTCTTATTGCTTTAATACTTTGTAAACCTTGAAATGCGAAAGAAGATATCTCCATTAATTCGGAATTTCCATCGAGATCTATCTCGACGAGATGACGAAGATCTCCAAACACATTATTCGTCAGTTTTTTTATTATATTGTAGCTCAAGTTGAGTTTCAATAAATTATTTATGTCTGAAAATGCCATATTGCTTACAACTTCTATATTACAATATGAGACATCTAAATTCAACATGAAAGGAAAATGAAGATTTTCAGTTGATAAAACATCCTTGATTCTAATGTTATGACTAAGGTCTGCACTTCGGGTTCTTCTCGACAGAGCACGTATCTCTGAAATAGTTAAATTAGCCTCTCGACATTCCACAGCTCCGTCTCCACACTTGCATTTTTGATGACATTCAAAATCGCACATGTGTTCATCGTCGCGATTGATACATTGAGCTATTCCGTCACATACTTGGTTCAGCGGTATACATTGCTTACTGGAGTAACATCTAAATCCACCAGCACATGGCACATATGACGCTTCTGGACAAAAGAATCAAATATCATCTATTAAGATTCATTTGTTCAAAACAATAACTATGTTACTCATGCATATTGCTACAAGAGATATCCGATTTTTTAATGGGCATGAAGTTATATTGGATCGTAATTGATACTTGGTATTTATATCTGTATCTTTATAATTTCCTTTCAGAGATTGTTAGGGAACGTGTTACTCTGTTTCCTTGTATGGTTCATTAATTTTTAATTATTGTGAATTTAATGTTTAATCTATCTCAAATATAATTCGTCAATCTCTTTTTTCACTCTTATATCACTATCATAGTGATGATCGTCTTTTTTCTTCTTTGAGTTTATGTTTGAAAGGAATTTCATTAAAAAACGAACTACCGAGCTATAACAGTAAGCAAATGAAGATCGCAAGCACGTGATAACTTGTTACAGGATCTCAATGTATATTTACCGGACATATTTAGTGTATATAAAGAAACAAGTAAGTATAACTGTAAAACTACTTTCTTTTATTCTTTAACAGTGGAATAATGGAAAATGCCCACATTTTATTCAATCTACCAACCTTTGCATATTTCTGGGAAAAGCCTATATCCTACAGCGTGTAATGAATTCCATCTGTAGATGCGTACATCATTCACAAAATCATATGTTCTTTTATTGTCGACTGAATAACTGAAGTTTTTAATGACACGATACATTTTGAATGCTTTACTAGATATATTTAAAAACATGATCTTAGCGACAGTAGATGACTCTATGCTATCTTCTATGAATATGATAGCTTTCGTTTCTCTATTTGAAAATTGTAAAGACGGAAGTAAGTTACGAGCCATAGTTTTATAAGTACAGTCGGAATCAATTGCGTCGTAGTCAATCATATACTTTTCACGTATTTCTAAAAGTCGATGTTCAAGAGGAAAATTGTGAATTCTGGACTCGCCTTTAAAATACAGTAACCTAACTTCACTGTTTCCAAACGCAAATTGCTTTGCTAATAGTTCAGCGGCTGTTTGACTATGTGTCGGTCTCTTTGTATCCTCTATCATTATAATGATGTCTCTAGCTTGACTGTCACAGGCTGTAAATGATATTACAATAGGCATTTAAGACATTGTCTAAGCTATATTATATTTGTGGTTTAAAAAGTCTGTCATAAATAAACAAAATAATCCTGATGGCTGCTTATTTTTATTATGTTATCTATATAAATAACTTTATAAGGGATATTTACATGTATAAGCGTTAGCAATACTTACTACAATTATGTTCATCTTGCCCACCAGGGCACTGGAACCTCCCATCACAAACAAACCTTAAGGAAATACAGTAACTGTTTGGACATTTTACTGTATTTCGGGGACAGTCAAAGTCGTCTGAAATCACATGGTACTTAATATTAACAACAATTACACAAAACTGGAAATGTAACTGTATATGCCAATTGCATTTGCAGTTGTAGCCAAATCTGTAATATAGGTTACCAGTATAATCATTTTTAAAATTGTTTTTTTGTTGCAAATAATATAATAAGTTACTTTCAGATATCAGATTTCAAAAAGAGTGTATTTATTTGAGGACATTAGGTCTTCGTATGCTTTACATGGCATATCGATATAGAACGAAAGTTTTGTACTGCGTGTATTTTCATGTAACAGATAGTATATTAAGGAATTAATCAAATATTTATCAAAATTATTAATCGTGTTAGTTCCTGTCATCCTTTACTTTCTTCAGGCTAATAATGGATTTGTAGTTCGACATTTTTTACAGTTCCTGGGTTCCGTTTCCAGATTCAAGTCAGATTGCCTCTATTGGTCTTTTAAAAGATGAAATTGATGATCATAAAGTGTTTAACATTCTACAGTTCTATAAAAGGAATAAGTTGTTATTTGCTATTTTGTACCTTATGTACACCAATAATTTTTATTATACAATTAATTATGTTTGTACTTCTAAAGATGAGAATAATATTTACAAGATAGTTCTGCAGACCAATCCCCTATTGCAGTCAGATCTACGGAAGATTAAAATGTATGCTGTAGTCTGTTTCTAACAGGAGTTCAACAGATGCATTAAAACTATACCTTTGTCGTTTACTTATCCAATTTCTACAGATGTCAAAGGCTTAAGGAATTCTTCTTCTAGTCTCTATATTCTCTTCACTCAGTTTTTCTCTGCAGTACTAAGATACCTACTGTCATTACAGTTTTAAACATAATTATGAAATATAAGCTCGATGTCTTGGCTATGTTCTATACCTTATGTGGGTCCTGGGGACTTTCAAACACAAAAAGTGCTTTTCTTAATGTATACAGACTCCGAACACGTTGCCAGTAATCTGTAGAAACAATGATGTAAAGTATGGTCTGAAAAAGGTTGTTACGCCAGCTTATGTCATGTATTTTAAGTCATTTTAAGCGTGCCGGGCGTCGTGCATTTTCCTCGTCGTTCTGTTTTTTTTATTGTAATGATACAACCCCTCCCCCGGCCACGACAGGACATTAGCACCTGGTGCAAGGGATTCGACTCTCGGTTGTTTTTCACCATCCCGAATTATGTAAATCTTCTCCTGCTGTCCCTCTCTCTACACAAAGTGTACTTACTGAACGAATGAAAAAAGAGAATGTTTACCGTATTCCTTAATAAACTACAAATATACTAATGAAAAAGACGTCTAAGTAAGTCTTTACTTACCGCAATTTTGCAGATGCATCCCCGACCTACATCCTATTATATAACCTGTTGCATCTTCATTATATACACACATTTGAGATTTTCTTATCGTCGTGTTATCTCCGTAACAATCATATAAGTCTACATCAACTGGCACGGAGTAATCTGTTTTTCGGTGTTAAATTAATGTAATGTATTCTTTAATTTATGTTACGATAGAAGGATTGTAAATGACATATAAAGGTTGTCTTGTAAATTGATCTCAGCATTTTTATCAGAATTATTGTTCAGATGTAATAAGCATTTATGACTACTTTTCTGTTATAAAATTACTCCTCAAGGTTTGATATTTAACTGGACAGCGCATTGTTTTTACATTTGATGGTTAGAAAATGTTTATGGTGGCGAATTGTCTTTTGAATAAAACCTTTGATAATTCCTAACATTTGGCAAGATAGCCAAACCCTCTGTTGATACATTATATGAAGTCTGTATTACAGTAAGTTATATAATATTGGATTGCTTGTTTGTTCGTTTCATTTTACGCCTTTTCCCAACAGTATTTCAGTAATAAAGGCGGGTAGTTTCCTAACCATCGTTCCTGGAGAGTTACACCAGTACTAGACTACCTTCCTCCGCGCTAAACTACCAAAGCATCTCCCGGGGATCGAACCCACGCCAGAGAGGTACCTGGATTAGAAGTCATCGACTCTAACCCCTCGACCACGGAGGCGGTCCTATATAATATTGGATATATTTATATAAATCCCCCCCTCAAAAAATAAATCTAAGAAACAAAAAACACATACTATAAGTGCACAGAATCTTCCTTAATCTGATGTCAATCGGAACTGTTCCCTCCGTCACGCTTAGATTAACATCTAATTTATTTTTGTTAAATGTGTAGTAAGTAAGGCCGTAACGAACCGTTTCATTTCCATCGCAAGATGCAAATTGTTTGTGCTCCCTGCCGTAGTATAAGCTTTTATTTTTACAATAAATACGTTTATGAATTCATGACGTTTATATATTTCTCAAAATAATGTTTTTCGTTTAAACTTAAAATAAATTGAAAATAACAATCCGAACATGCTGAGTCTGTTCAAAAAAGATATATATGCTCCTATTTTTTAAAGTTCATATTAAATATTAAAATCAAAGATCTTAAATAACAAAATGACATAATGGCACATATATACCGTTAATGTAACCCTTAACCAGAGATATTTAGCATCGTATTTCAATTACCTGTGGTTATCTGATAATTCATAATTATTGTCATGTTGACCTGTAGAATCATCTCGTTTTCTCCGACCATACCTGAAGATAATATCATGTAACAAACGTTTGTTCAAAGAACGATTACAAACATTACAATCACCTGCAAAACACACGCGCACGCAGCCACACGCACTCACACATACTTGAAGAGGGACATAAAATAGTTCTATTTTATATCAAACTTATTTGATAGCTATATAGGCTGTTTTTAATCAGAGAATGTGTAAAAAAACCTCATAATACCACAAAAATGTAATAAAACTGTTTTCTGGTGATATAAACGTAAATTTTAGAATAGAGTATGTAAGGTATTGTGTTCTATTGAAAAGCTTGCAAATGTCACGTTCGCTTATCTTTTTTGCAGATATACAATTTTTCCTTTACATCATTCACCAATGCGAACAGATTTACTTCCATGGTGAGATTGTTTTCGCCTATGCTCTAAATCGAAGACTTGAAGGTGTTATATTTGATAAAAAATAATAAGTACAATAATTACCAGAAAAACCGAGGTTTGTACTCAAAGGTAACCTTGGCTAACTTTAAAGTCTTGATTGAGCATTGACAAGTGATATTTATAGATTGTTGATAGTTCAAGTCGTAAATTGATGCAGCGTTTTCTGGTAGGTAACATGTACTTTTGACCTATATAATGACCAAAATAGAACATTTTGTCATTTAATCTTAGTAAAAAATCAATTAAAATATTCTTAATTTATTTTTAAATGATTGTAATTTTATACTTGTTGATAATGATCCTTTAAACTAGGTAAGTACTAGTAAAATTTTCATTATGTTTGGAGACATATATACATATATACATAAATCATAGTAAAACAGTTTTAATTTTCAAATCAATGTTTATGGTTAACTTGCTAAACCAACGACAAGGTACAATGCTTATCATAAGAAGCTAGAAAATCAAATCACGAGCAAATCTTTAACTCACATCAATCGTGCAAATACTGTTGTTCCTGAAAACCAAATCGTGGAATAAACCCCGCCCAGTCAAAATCATCTTCATCTTCCTGGGAGATAGTGTGTATATAGCATTGCTTGTATCCAAATCTAAATTACTGATTTCCATTGTAATTGTTTTAGATCTTTCTCCTGTCAATTTATAGTCACAGTACACATCTATACCGTCTGAAAAAAGTTTTTCTTTTAAAATGTATGTTACATTACAAATAATTAGCATTTATTTTACTCGAAGTGTCTCTATGTGTGCATAACGTCAGATACACCAAGCCAGTTCCTCATGATATCTAGATACGGTTTAACTCATTGAGCCATATCTTATTATTCTTTATTTTAATTGCAAGAATAAGCGGTGATTTAAAACAAATGCACTGAATATATAACCGCCGCCACGGCTGGTCCAAAGCTCGAATGAGGGCTAGCATCTCTAACTTGCAAAGTTAACACTTTCTACGGAAACAACTACAAGGAACAATACTTATAGTAGCTAGTAGCTTATAGCTAGTAGGGGTAAAGAGGCAGACCAGATTTCTTGAATTTACGAGCCGATAGAAGATCTCCTGACACCCAAACTAATTATACGAGTTGGATGCTGGTCTTTTCGTAGGACAGAGTCTGAAATTGTTATGTAATTTTGTTGTGATAAATGCTTCTGAGTGATCACACTTTATCCAGATTTTTAGGTTAAATGAAAGGCCTTATACTGAGAAAATGACATGGAGATAAAAATCTCTACAAGAAGAGCAAATTCTACGGGCAACTTGCTGAGAAGGCACAGGAGGTTGATAAACCAAACAAAAACATAAATACCGTCTATCAGATAGCAAAAATATCAAAGACTGTGCGGGGCGATCATGGACCAAACCGAGATCTTGGTGTAAAGTCAGAAAACGGTTCGCCAACAACAGAAGTGACTGCAAAACTGGAGTGACGTAAAGAGCATTTTGAAAGAAATAAAACACTTGTTCGATCAAAATTGCTGATGAATATCAAAAAATTATCTAATTAGATTTTAACAACTGTTTATGCATTTGTGTGCTTTAAAGTGCTTTGTTTTACACATCAATGAAAGTAGTATATGTCAATGTATGTTTATTTTAAGGTAATGTAAGTAAATACAATAACACAATATCACAACATACACAATATTGATTTTGTGACCCCCCCCCCTCCAAGAAAAAACAAAACAACAACAACAAAAAAAAAAAAACAAAAAAACATAAAATATATTTCCATCCAAAATTGTTTTTTAAAAAATGAAAGGAATGATTTTATTCTTTATTCATAACGAAATGAACAATATGAATTAGCTCATCAAAGATAAGATTTATTTCTTGAAGGGCCTTCTCATGTAAAAATCAACAAAAGATTCAATCTATAAGTCAGATTTGTAAGTAAACACATTAAATAAGTATTTTATTTTCTTATCCTTTCTTAATATATGTTCTTAACTTGAAAAGTCAATATAAGAGGGAAAATGTTAATTGCTGTATTTTTAAATGCTTAACAAACATGACTATAAAACAGTCGTACTTTACTTATTTTATGTGAAGCAGAGATGCAAATAAAAAAAGAGAAAACGAACATAATATCAAGATAAAACTGACATCGTAAAGGCAGGTTTAATGTATTTTAGACTTCAAGTTTTCTGTAATAACAACTGATTTTCTTTTGCAATCAATTCAATGGTAAATTAATTGTTATTGATACATCATAAGAAGACGAACGATATACAGACACGCATCTTAAAATAGAGGACAATGATATCTTTAGTCGGATAGCTTTTTGTAATACATTGAGGACAACTCAAGAAAAAAAACAACATATTATTGAGTTTCCAGTTTCCTTTATAACACCCACAAGGGTGTTGCCACATATCTATCATGAACACTAGCAGAGTGTAGCTGTACCAATCAAAATCCACGATATGTGGCAACGTCACTTATCTAGACTGAAACTGCCAGAGACGTTGGGTCAACAATTTTTCTAATTTATGCCTTCTAGTATGGGGTATCAAGCATCTCATCGAAATTAAGGGTAGATACCTTCAGAGAAAAGGAGAAGTGTTAAAAGTAAAATAAATGCAAACTAAAATTTAACATTTCTGTGTTTACTTAGTGTTTTCCTATTCCGTAACCATGACACTTGTTAGAATTATTTTTCGGGGAATAATTTTCCATACACTGTCTCATCATATAGGGACACATTGAGACATAGACACAGGTTTTGAGACGGATTTAAATTCCCGAGATTTGGATTAGCTGCTCACTTTTTCCAAGAATTGTAACCTTGTGCTATTTCATGTATGCTTTGTTTGATGTAATGCTGTAACATGTTATACCTTTTGTTGGGAATGTGTTTTTATATTCCATTTTTCGTTGTCGCCAACGTTCAGTATTTTATGTCGCTCCTCACACTCAGTATAAATTTCTGTCCCGACCACCTTCAATTCAATGGCCTTTAACCGAGTCCTTATTTCTTTATTATCTATCTGTCCTTGTAATGACACCTTTGTTGTTCTCATTTGACTTCCTATGATATTTTTTGAATCAATATAAGCGAATAATCTAATCTTACCCATCCTCTTGTACACATCCCTAATTTCTTTTCCAAACCATGATGAATGATTTACCGATGATTCGCTCAAGGTCAGCATATTTGGTAACTATCAGTTGGTAGGATACGTTAATAATAAAAAATATTTAATTCTACTCCCGACAATAGATACAATTCGCTTTTATCTTTGTACGGGACGGTAAGCAACAATGTTTGACGAATAACTATAAAATAATACCTAATAGTTTACAAAATCAAAGAAATATCAATAATTTTACTTACCTATGAGATATTGACCTGACTCATGATATCCTTTCTCCCACAAATCCCCGCACGTTAAAACTTTGTAGTTCGAGCAATCACTTTCATCACTGCCATCTTGACAGTCACGCACTTTGTCACAAACCAGTTTATTACTTATACATCTATCAACATCGCAATGGAAGGAATCTCGACAAGAGGCTTAAAAAAATAAACCAGCTTTTTTATAGATGAATTGAATAATCCAGCTGTATTTTGATGAGTGCGGGAGCAAAATTCATGCCTTCATGGCCAGTTTGTGAAACTTTAAAAATCGCATGATAACTTACCACATTTTATTTCGTCGCTACCATCTATACAGTGCGGGACTGCATCACAACTCTTGCTGTGAGGAATACACTGCTTATTATTGCATACATATTCATCCAGTCCACAATTCCGAAGCTCTGCATATGTATAAAGTAAAAAAAAAACAAGTGATCTATGTAAAACAATTACGTCTATACTATTACTATGTGTTATGATCGGTAGGTTATAACATCGTTACTCTCTAAGGTACTTGCTGTGCATATACACAGTTACGATATAGCTATAGCTTGATAATTCAAATTTTCTTCGTTAGCATTTGAACTCTTTGTTAATAGTTCAAATAGGAAAATTTAAAAAAATCCTTTGTCAATGATTTTCAAAATGTTGACAATATAATTTCGGTGGGATTTTCAAAATTAATGCCTATTTATTTCTTTCCTCGTTTTAATTGTCAAGTTGGGCTAAATCAATTGTAAATGTCATAAGATTAACTGTTATTATGGTAATTGACAACTAGTTGATATTGCTAAAATGTTTAGAAATTATTTACAAATTTTCTGATTGCAGACATACAAAAACAAGAGAAAATACATGTAAATTACAGTACATACAATTAGCCACATGCATAGAAGAGAGCAAGTTCTAACATACATATAGTTCATATATAATAAACAATACATATTAAATAAGAGCAATTAAAACACATGTGTAATTCTTTTACATCTCATACTAACGTGAGTAATCTATTTGTCCAGAGTACGGTTACATGTAAATGCAAACCTGATACATGAGGTTTACGCTTTCCTTTTTAAAATATGTCGAATTCTTATTTAACAGCAAACCATTACTTGTTTAATTCCAAAGATCAACGTTTCAATCTTCAATATTGAACTGAATGTAAGTCAAATAAAATTTCACCTTAGAAATGTAATATTTTACATAAACTCGTTAACTTTTCTGTCGCGTTCGAAATTTAAATTTAATTTATTTTCAAAATAAAGAAACTGCATTCGACATTTTCTTTTTAATCTACACATAAATTCATCATACAAAACATGTGATGCAATAAGTATAGAATATAATAAGGTTTTCTAACTGTACCACAAAACTCATCCTCTGCATTAGTGCAATCTGGTTTAAAATCACAGACTTGACCTAGCTTTATACAGCTTCCATCAGCACAAGCAAATTCGTTATTGTTGCATCCTAGTATATAAAAATCATTGGGTATTAATGTTTTAGTGTTGATGAAACAACAATAAATTCACAAATCATAGAATGTCTTGCGTTCGTTACATTTTTATAATAGTATTCTTGGTATACAGGCGAACGACATAATCAATGAAATATGTCGTGTTAATGGAAACAATGAACTTTTGTTCATCTGTCACACGGCTGTGTAAGAAATTTAAATGTGTCGTGGATTCAGTCAAAGATGCACCTCATGCATGCCGTCCAAAAACTGCAGCTTCGCAAAAAATGGTTGAAAAAGGTAAGGATTTGATTGCTACTGATGCAAGATTTACAAATAGGTATATAGCTAAATGTGTTGGTATCTCTGTAGGAGCCGCTCATACAATTCTCAGATATGATTTAAAAATGAGAAGTGCAAGATGGATACCCCATCTCCTTATAAAAGGGCAAAAACATGTGTTAAAACAGTTCCCTAAACTAAACGATCAATCTTTCGCATTTACCATCACTGGCGATGAAACATAGGCTTATTTTATTAGCACAAGCGAAATATGCATAACATTGTATGGGCAACGAAAGGAAGTCAAAGATCTTGCATAGCAAACGCATCATGAGCGTAAAAATGTCATGTATGCAATTTTCATTACCAATCAAGGTCCTGCTATTCAAATAACCTTTCCGAAGGGCAAATCTGAAAATGCCAAGTTTTACAAAGGCAAGGTCTTTCATGAATTAAATAAATATTTCAAAAACCAGCAACTGGTCTCCGTGGTGATAGACTGAAGATGACAATGTTTCGTCACACAAAACAGCCATCGTACGAGAATATCCGAAACAGGAAAAGGTTGCCTCCTTATTCGCCAGATCTTGCTTCCAGTGACATTTTCTTATTTCCGAGGCTAAAAAACACCTTACTGCAAGAAAATATCAAACACGAAAAAACTATCGGTTCGGCTATTTTCCAGTATCTGAACAGTATTCCTCAAAAACATTATGAAAACGCATTTAAAAACTGAATTAAAAGACTAAAACTTTGTAAATCACATGGTGGTGAGTATGTTTAAGGATTGAGATACTTATCTTGGCACTGTTTGTTAAGCTTTCTTGACAATTGTCCCAGTTGCATTTATATTTGAACACCCCTTGTACACGTTGGCAATATATTTGGATGTGTTAAAGTTATGATGGACACATGGTGTCAACATTTTATACATCTCAATTTTTTTTTCGATACTTGTTATTAATGTGAAAGAAATAACATAATTACAGATGAACTTTTCTTGTGATTTTTAAAATGGTAGAAATCTATTTCATCTAACAGACGTCATTGGCAATAATGTTGCGTTTCTTTGCACTATAATTCTAACATACCTGCTAATTTATGTTCCAAAACATTATACAGAAGTATTTTATTGGGCGAAAAGTCTTCTACGTCCATGAACAGGCTCAATCAAACCGAGCCTGCAACATTTTCAATTTTGCCGTGTTGGGCTTTCTTTAGGGATTCTGTCTTTATCTATTTTCTAATTAAGTCAATTAATAACTATTTCATTCACGCCAACCTCTAATGTGGTAAAACGTTTACGAATATAATGAATCAGCACGTAAAGAACAATTTATTTCTGATGTCTTGCTTTTTAGGCAATTGAATGAAATATGAGTTATCCTTAAAATTAATGATAATTCACCCATAGTTTTTCCTTTTTACCATTTAATCACTTTAAATTTACTTTGAAGGATTCAGCTAATCACTTATTACAATTTTACGGGATACACAGATGTGCAATGATATAACAAAACTTTAGGAAGGCTCATGTTACCTGCATTACTTCGCAAACAGTCAATTTCATCAGATGCATCTAAACAGTCTATTACAGTATCACATTTTGCAGCTATGGAAATCCATTCCTTACTTCCACATTGGAAATAGGATCCTTCTCCTATCCGTCTGACAGGAAAAATTGTCGGGAACAATTCAACGTCCTGCACAATGTCATGTTCTAAATAGTAGTAAATGATGAAATAGATATGCTTTGTTATTATTTGAATGACCTAGATTAACTTTTCAAACATATTCGTCAACACAGTTTGAGTTAAAGTTTCTTGTGTGTTCTTCAGTATCTTATACTATTATGTCAGTGTATAAAGAAATACGTGTACAAAACAACAACAACAAAACATTAAAAAAACAAAACAAATAAAACAGCATCATGTCATTGTTTTTCAATGAGTTAATTAAGTTTGAAATGGATATCACATAGAAGATTGATATGTGATTTTACAATGACTGTTTAAATAACTTTAAATTAAATTAAGAGCTTTTACATTTGGTGTTTTATTCGAAAAAATTCATGAAACTTCGCCTGTAAATCAAATTCAGGTAGTCACTTATTAAACTTCTATATCGTGCATTTTTATTGTTTCTTTCTCTTTTTTTTTATAAAACTTTGTTATTCAAAACATCTATAAAACAGTTTTAAATAAGTTTTTTTTTAATGCCGCAGTGTTTGATTCCCCCATTAATTATATTTGAGCTATATTTACGAGTATTATAACACAAATATTAAAACCGATAGTTTTAAATAAGCGAAATACCAAAACAAATTATTACATGTAATACCGTTATATGTTATCCATGTAAAAATAACGTTTCTTTCTGCATTATCATCTTTTCAAATACAAAAGTTTATCGTAAATTCTATAATGAAGTGAAGTTTTTTTTTATTCAATACATCCAATAGTTTACTATAGAGAATTACTTTCAATAGTAATCAATTTCAATCTTGCATGTTTCACACAAAAATAATTATGAAGAATCTGAATAAGAAAAAGTGCATATAACATTACGTATTTTTAAAACATCACGCATGATAAATACAAAAAATTCTGATTAATAATGTAGTTCCTACCGTTCATAGTGCAATTCATTTCATCGGTTTTGTCTTCACAATGGAACGTTTTATCACATTTATTCACCAGTGGTATAAGGCGTCCCGTAGAGTTGCATGAAAAATGATCACCAAAACGCTCCGTTATCACAGACACGGAATCGGCTTCTTGATACATTATAAACATGGGTGAAATGGTTTGTTAATGTTTGAAAGATACAGTTTAATAATAATCATTTGTTTCTTAAAATCAAATCACACTTTTTATTTAATTTAAATATATATTCAAATTGTAGAGAGAGAGAGAGAGAGGGAGAGAGAGAGAGAATCGAATTGAACATAATTGTGTTAGACTTTGTGTGACATCATTGTGCATTATGAAGACTAAAACATACATATTTTGCAAATAACAAGATGTTTTGATCTAATCATGCAAAACAGAAACTGAATTCTACGGTAAGATAAAATGTTTATGTCCGTTCCAAACTATACGTTATGTGGTTTAATTGAATTGATTAATGTGTTTTTCCTCACACGAGAGTGAATCTATATGTAATGGAATATGAAGAATACCTTCTAGTCTAGCTTGGTGAACTTGAGGTTACGCATTTGCTTTCAAGTGATACCAAAATCAAGCCTGTAATCAACCGATTAAGAATTATATTCTTATTTAAATAAAACCTTACACGAGTAACTTCACGTTAAATGGCTGGTAAACTAATAAATTTTTAAAGTGCGGAGAGGGCTTACATGCAACCTCGGGCATAACTGGGAAAATCTGCTATAAAATCAATCTGACTTAAGTTCAGATCGACTTATTTCTTACATGTAGATCTGATAAACAACCTAAGTTTTTATCATTCAGATTCGGATTTCCGTGTTTGCTAATTTTAGCCATCAAATTAAATCGTTCGTTACAATAGGAATAAGAAATGGTGAATTATGTTGTTGAAAGTGTAGTGATTACAGAGTAGGCCATTCAGTCACTTTATATTCAGTTTACTATTATCAGACTAGGGAACACATATAAGTCGTTCCATATCAAACTTACTTACAATAGTTAATTATGTTCATTGACGACGCCATGTTTAGTCCAGCGTAATATCTTCAAGTCGTGATGATAACCTTCTCGATATTTGTTTTTCAGCGTTTAAAATAGAAACAGAGTCGCTTTCAAAATTATGAAAGTTTGCCGATAATTGACTGTTTGTAGAAGTCACTCCGTATTTGGAGATGGTCTGATCTAAATGCGGAGCGTTATTAAGAGCTGATTTTAACCAGATTGACATGAAATCTAATAAAAATGGGCACAAATTAATCTAAGATGCCTGTAAATATGTAACAAAAAGTTACAGCCAAAATTAATAAAGTCAATTGTCTCCTTGACAAAGATGCTAGGCTTTCATTTACCCTGATAACCATATCACAAGTATATAAAAAAGGTCAACTCATACGATTCTGAGAAATAGACGAGTAACTGCCGGACAGATACTTCTTGGAACGAGTTATATGCGCTTAAAAAAAAACTGACATTGTTTTTTTTATATTTTTTTTGCAATTGTAACAATTAAATTTGGCCAACCAATTTGTTAGTCGCATTGCGAAGCGATTTACAAGTGTCATCGATACAAGTGTAGAAATGGATCATGTTGAAATATATATCCAAAGCGGACCAATTGAAACATTTTAAAATTGGATTAAACATCAGAAACGTTGTTTTACCGTAGAAGATAATTTCGAAGGGTAAAATAATAAAAAAATAAAATATGTGTTCTTTTGTTAAAATGTTTGATCATATTGCATTACATATTGACCCATTCTCGTTTATGTTATCCCTAGCAATACGTACGTGAGAAGAAGCATGGCTCCCACGATATCACAGTGTCATTCACATTGCAACCAAATATTCCAGAGTCAGAGGTATCTTCACACAAATCAGAATTTATGTTAAATAAATTCCTGTCTTTATCAACTACCAAATGGTTATTTTCTGTTACATTACTCCATCTTTGACAAGCCTTTCCAGAGTAGGAGTAATTGATTTTAATTTTGTTTTTCTTTGACAACGAGTTGCACATTCCTTTGTTAAAAACGTTTACTGGAGAAGAAAGACAAAAGTTGCATTTTAAATAGGAGTAGTCTGGACAAGCTTCCATGTAGCTGGCAACACAATGATAATTAACACCCTTTTCATTCAAGGACCATAACTCAGCCAACATTATTCAAGCAGTATGAATGTTAGTATATCTATAGTATGAGATAGTGAGCATATTTCTTTTATAAGAATGCGTCACTTTTCTTTCGTACCTATTTGTTTTACCAATACATAACTTTTTTACGAATATTTCATTTCTGGAATGCATGCACATTTCTTTTACCAAAATGTTAGTAAAATGCGTGACCATTTATTCAACAAAAATGTACAAATCTATTTTTTAATGAAGACAAAGCTCTTTTTTCAATTTCACAGATTGTGAACACATTCATTTAAGTCAAATATGTGCTTATGTCTATCAGAATGTCTGCATATCTTTTCCATTTTTTCGACTTGCATTAAAAAAAACATTATAGAAAGTTGAAAAAGATTTGTGCTGGAGTATCAACATAAAAGATATTACATTTTGCGTTTTCTTCTTCAGTCTGGCAGATGAAATAGTCTGCAAGTTCATTTTTACAATCTTCTGTCTCCCATGTTCTGTCCATATTGAATGACCGGAAGTTTGTCCGAGTGCAGTCTCCAACTGATGGCTGACCAAATGTCCTGAATTTTTTTTTGAAAAATCTTAAAATCAATGTTATGGGATGTAATTTAAACATCAATAAATTAAACATCGACTGTCAAAGCTAATTACCTAATCAAAATATTTATGAATAAAAAGTAAATAAGATAAAATATAATAACATCTTTCCTCTTTGCTATAAAACCTTTAACCCGAAGTTGGGGTTACATTGAGAGATGTAAGTCCAGTGTAGCATTGTCTGGTGAGTATGACGGATAACGAACTACATTGATCTCATATGTCTAACCTGTCAGTGGTATGACGCATTTTTCTGGTGGAATGTTTCATTCTAGATGTTGTTGTACAGGGATGGGCACTTTTTGAAAAATGTGTTTGGGAGGTCAAGAAGTAATGCCTGTTTTTACACAATCAATATCTGTTTGTTCTTGTTTCAAAGTAATAGAGCAGGCATCGCCTATGGTGTTCAAACAGGTCCGAAATGTGCTGTTACTTTCAACAATACAAAGAAATGTCTTGGTGGCTACAATTCGAACCTGTTTTTCTTCTTCCATTTAGAACCAAACGAGCGCTCACATTCGAATTTGATATTTTCTAAAGATCAGTTAGCATCCACTAATCGCTAATTTTACTTATCACATTCTACTCAGACACTTCTCTCATTGTGTTACGGACATCTCCCTCAATAACCTTTTTTGTTTTCTAACGTTATGCGTTTTAAGTCTAAAATCACACAATTGCAAAAAAAAAGGCTTCTCAAAACACCGCTGTATCTGTTAGTTCATTTAAGTTTCTTGTGACTGCTGGACTGCACACCGAACTTCATCACAATTTTTCTTCTTCTGACGCCGTCATTTTCAATAAGTTCACTATTCAAAATTGCGCCATATCAAAGAAATGACATGTTTAAATTTTGAATCTTCTTAAATAACGTTAAACTGTCGCTGCTGTAAGACGATACATTTCAGCACTTAACGTTTACATGACAGAAATATTGTTTTGTTGAGCACGCAGATGCGTTTATTTGAGTTGAGCAGTTTATGCACGCATCGAACATAAGTGATACACAAACTAGGACTATTTAGGAGGCTAATATTACATATATTTAGATTAAACTTGAAATTTTTAACCGGCTATAAAAATGTTTCAAGTTCTGAACAAAAATATTATACATACGTAATATTCCTTAATAATTCTTATTTGTCTGCGATAACATGCATGCAGTAAAAGCTTCCTTTTCAAAATGATCACAACTACACCAACTCGACGTCAAACCATAATGTCCCCACCTATATTATGTTAAAAATTCTGGAAACAAACTGATCCCTCGGAAGCATTAATCACAACAAAATAACATAAGAATTGCAGACTCGGTTTGATTGAGTCTGTACATGAGGGATAATGCATAAGTGCAACATCCCTCACGCCCCCTAGCACCGGTTTGAGCGGTACTCAATTCTCAACACTTTATAGTGTTGGCATCAATGATCCCGAAGGACCAGAAAATATAACAACACTGAAGTAAAGTACGGGGCAACTTTTAAGTTGCTTTATGCATATGTTGCAACACGGTAAATATGTCTAATTTAGGAAGCATTTCTCATATAATTCACATTCAGAAATGACATTCAAGCATGGAAAGCTGTGGCTGAAATTACCAACTAATAAATATATCTCGAGATGGTCTAAAAACAAAATTTGTATAGTAAATAAATAAATAAATAAATAAGATATAACTGATTGATAATCATGAATTTTATGAAATTTTCATGCATTGCTGAGTACATTACTGACTTCTTTTGGATAAGCACACTGATACATCAGTTTTAGAGATTAAGTTTAATAAGAGAATCAATATTGTTCTCAACCATATCTTATTAATTCGTTTTGTACACCACACTATTCCAGCTTTGTTGCCAAATTAAAAAATGATATGTATTATGTTCTCTTAAAAATGAAGATGAGGCTAGATGGGGTGCGATATGGACTTTATATGAACGTTTGAAACTCTAAAAATAATAACAAAGCTAAACAGAGTGTTATATAGACTTTATATTGACCTTGTGGACACTGAAATTCAAATCAAAGCTAAATTGATAAGATTGGACCAATAATATTTTTTACTGGAACATCACATGGTGTAAATACAGAAAATGGATACGTTATATTTTATAACGCGCAAAATAAAAAAATAGTACATGCTTGTTGATTATATCACTCCTCAAAATGTAAATGCTTCAATGTTACCTACCATGCAGTGAAAGTGACTTCATGACTGTTTACCCAATAAAATCTATTCTTTTTATCCGTATCAATGCTCCGCGATAACCCTAAAACAAATATTTTATATATTAATTTTAAAATGTTAGCAATTATATCAGATCAATATGATGTCAGTGCATCTCTTTCCTAAAATATATACAAATGATTTTGTTTAATTCATCAAACCCCGTGACGCCCCACCTATTCTCTATCTGAAAGGAAATTTAAGATTATACATATCAACGTAATAAGTAGCTTATCAAGTAAAACTGTTATCTTTGAAACTTTAAGGTTTTCATTGAAGAATTCATTGAAGAAGCACAAAATTGGAGATTTTAAATTTTGCTTATTTCGAAAGGCGTAGGATGATAACCAAGCAGGTAGTTTATCCTATAATACGGAGAGTTGACAGGAAATTCTTTTGAAATGGTCATTAATAGTGCGTAGATCTTGGTCTTTTAAATAGAAATGACCAATGTTTGTTAGTTTGTCTGGTTTTATGGCGCACTAAAAAACAGCAAAGGTTGCCGAAAAAGGAAAGATGAGGTTAGCTTACTTTGGGTGTTAGAAACTTTCACACAACAATAGGGGTCCTAACCCCCTCACCTGCTGGTAGTAAGACATGCATAGACTCCAGATATTCGAACTCATTAAGTCGCCTTTGCGGAATACACGGTGATAAAATGTGATGACTGCAATTCTAACGACTCAATCATTAAAGTTTTCAACCCTTCAGCCACAAAGGTCTGAGCGAAATATTATAAGGTTTGAATTGGGTAATAAATTAATAAATTCAGTAATTATTCCCAATTTAAAACAAATTTCTAGAAACAGAATAATTTGTTTATTCTTTTAATTTAATTTTGGAATCACATGTATTTGCACCCAATAAAATAGGGATATACCGAATCTCTAAAGAACGTTCAAAACAACAAAACAGAAAATGTTGCAGGCTCAGCTTGATTGAGCCTGTCCAAAAAGCCTTTTCTATCTTAAAGAAATCAACATTATGTCCCTCATGCGTGTGAAATGAAAATTGATTCGCATATGTGCTTGTGGTTAAAACAATTTTGATAATTTCAATTGTTATGAAAAACTGAAAAATAAATGTGTTCATTATAAGAAAGAAAAACATCTTTGTTCAGCTTGAAAACCGATCTTTGTGAATAGTATTACTTCTAACGTTTAACATGCTTTTGAATTACTTCAAAACAAAAACTAATAGTAATAGCTTTAACACTCACCTATGTGTGCCTTGAAACTTAAATGTTTTGAGTCATATTTGTCAATTCTTTGATCGTCGTATCTTTGTTCTCGAAGAAGGTAATTTATATATTTCAATTCTTTTTGTGATTGTATTGTTATAAGATGCTCATTTCGTGACCAGCAGGCAGATCTTGCGTCATACCAAGATATTGATGATTTAAATACAGTGTAGCGCTTTCTGAATTTCTTCGAACGAACTGTAAATTTCGAAACTTCATTATTTTTTTTATCCAGTTTCCTTTGCTCTAGTATCATTTTTTTCTTTTCTTAAAAAGTATGAAAGAAAATTCATCATTATTGACGTTATCAAAATCAGAAGATACCTTAAAATGTATTACTGTACCATGCGATTTTTTGATGACAGTAAATATCACACGTATTACGACACTTAATATTTTCCCCAGTAGCTTTATTATCAAGGCATAAATGTGTTTAACTTTAAGCAAAGGAGAGGTATTGCCTTAATGTCTAAGTCAAATTTGTTTTTAGTCATACATGTCAACAAAATATATCATTTAAAGAATTCTTAGAAATAAATAAACACACTTTGTAAGACTTTAGCTAGGATACGTTTATGATAATAAGATTTTCATTCATATTTATTTTCACATAATAGAATTTGTCTATAGATACTTGCAATAATAATATTTAATATCAGTTCTAAATCACAGGAGTTAAGCTTATATTAGTAACTTTAGAGAGCCAGAAAATATACGTATTTCTTTATAAATGATCGGCTTTTGCTACAGGCACAATATGCTCCGAAACGAATACATTTTGCCTTCTTTAATTCTTATTTCTGAGTTTTATTACATTAAAAATGTTAGGTGCTTATCACGTGAGGATATTAGCACTGAATGTGAAATACTTTTGTCATTCGAATAAACAAAAAAATAAATCAAAGTAGAATTTAAGCTTCCGTACACAATACTAAATTACTATATTGGTCTTATTGCAATAAAGCAACAGAAGCAAAAGATAAATCAGGTTGTTGGAAAATAAGTTGTTTTTTAAAACCTAAAACAGGACACCAAAATAAAAATTCTTTAAGAATAGAAAATAACAAAATATATGATGGACATTGAATGCTATACAGACCAAACAAAATCTAAGTATTATTGTGATCATGAACAATGTAATTATAAAATACAATTAAGTAAAAACCCTGATGACATTTATAAAGCGAAGATGAGTGTTCGTTTTCAGATTTATGAATAATGGCAATTGTTTACCTTGTGTAGCCCTCATCGATTTTTGCAGAGAAATGACATCTAAAAAAAGCACCATTTTAATCAGCATTTTATCACATAATAATCTATAAAACATACTTTATGGATTTTTACAGAAATCGTCGTTCTTTTTTGTGATAACAAAAACGTAGTTTTTCCATTTGGTTATAAACTGTTTCGGGTTTTATACTCTATACACCATTTATTTGTATTGTAGCAAAAGAAAACGAAACATGTGTTTTAAAAAGTCACGTTCACCTGTAAGAAAACATCAACAACAAACAATGTAGCATCAGGGCAATCCAGTATCATAGAGAAAATAAGAATTCATAAAGAATGTCCAAAACGGTAAAAACTGAAAATGTTGCAGGCTCGGTTTGATTGAGCCTCTTCATGGACGGAACTGTCAAGTGCAAACAACCGTCCACACCCCTAGCATCGGTTAAAGCAGAACATGAAATGGCAAAATTTTGAACTAAAAACAACAACAGCAACAAAATATCTTTATAGGAAAAAATCGCATAATTTTCAATATCATTTTCTTTATAAAATTCGATACAACACACAATATAATGCATATCCATTTTCAACCCATTTCTGGAAGATATAAAAGAGGCATCACATAATTTTGTTACAATTTCATTTTATGGTATATGTTTAAATGTTTAATAAATTTTGGTTTCATTTTCTAAAACATGAATGTTTCTACCTAATCCGTCATCAGTTCTCAGAATTTGGGGCAGACCGCTTTAGTAACTACACACAATAGAGATATTTCTGAGCAAATTTTACGCGTTCTGTTACATATGGACCATAAGGAATGGCATTTACGCGTCACATTGAAGGTTCCATGATAACCGTCGTATGAACACATCTGCGCTTGTTTCTAAATTCAAAATTTCACCATGTTTAAATGTTGAATTCTGCTGTAGGGGGCGTGGACGGTGGTTTGCACTTGGCAGTACCGTCCATAAACAGGCTTAATTCATATCTACACTTCACATCCCTTCCCTTATTTTGTTTAGTTAATCTAATGTCTTAGGGTGGAAAGTTTTGGCGGTATCTGATGTATAATGTGTCTTGGGGTAAATTGTCTGCAATCACCGGCGATGTGCAGCTCTCCAATCATTATTTTTGCTAAGTGACATTTTAAGTGTCTATCATTCAAAATCGATTTTAAATAGACTTCAATTCTTGTACGAAAAGGATGTGCTGAACAGGCAAATTTATTCATTATTATACGGCCGTTTCGATTCTTATTTCATGTCGGTCAATGAACATCAAAAGCATTTTTAAACGTTCGACTTTTATCTGTCTTGTAACTTATATGTATATTTATCTTTATTTTTATCATATATAAATGTATAATACAACAACATACTAAAGTTTTTAAATCATGATGTAATTGAGAGGAATTCATTCTCGTCGTACACTTTTGTACTCAATAATTTTGTACCAAATAAGGGACAATTAACTTGATTATTTAAAATCAGTAAAATGTCTTTGATTATCTTAATTGATCATATGCAGTTGATTGAATTTGATATTAATTCCAAATTTTACTATTGTAAAGTAATAGATATGAATTTTCAACACCATATTTAAATCACTTATTGTTACTGAAATATGTAACGACGTTTTCCTATCATCTTTTAATATACCTTTAAGGTAAAGTTACTAACAAAATGTGTTTTCCCGTGTACTTATGTAATACAAGGGTTGTCGCTAATGACATTTTATTGCTTTTGTCGGAAAAACTGAGTGAAATTTGACAAGGTAATTCAGTTGAAATATACAGCAAACTGAATCATAGCTTCAACTATTTTGAACTATTAGATAAGAAAGGAAGAAGACACACAGAGCATACAAAATTTCATTTCTAATCATTTAAAAAATATAGATCATGTTTACTGTAAATTTGAAATTTATAATGCATAAAACTCATAAAAATATAGATCATTCGTTTCTTTGAGGCTAAACACCTGTATGCATTTTGTTAAAACTGTTTAAATTGAACTTAACAGTTAATGTATACAATATCAAAACTAAGACTCACACGCCTGTATAACAGTATCACGATATTCATAATTATACTTTGTAAAACATTATAAAACGATTGATATATTTTGACATGAGAAATATTTTTATATTTTGACTTTATAATACATAAATTTATTTACAAGAATTACTCACATGGATACAGGAAAGTTTCTGTATCCGTCCATTTTTCTAACGTAAAACTTTTTGTCCTGTATTGCAGCCTAAAACCTTCCCGTCCTAAAAACTTTTTTCTGGGTTCATCATATCTTCGAAACACAATATGGATATAATTTTCCTCCGAGTAGACGATCTTCGGAGGTTTATTTGCGTTGCAGTATTCTTTTTCACCATTTCTTTCAATTATTGCGAATTTTGAGCGAATTTCAGATTTTCCTAGGATTTTAAATATACAACACTGTTAAACAATTAAGAACAAGTGACAGACAAGAGATAAGAGGTATCAGGGATGACATTAAGAACTACTGCCAGAGGCCGTCCAAAGGGGTTTAACAGTTAAAAATGTTGACCGGTCAACATTTCATTTTATCATTGTGCACGCACAGGATTTGAGCGGTTCCATTAAACTGTTGTAAATAAGAAATAAAATTTTATAAAAGGCAATAGGTAATACTTGCTTTTATTAAACACGTTGTTAAACTGTTATAATACAAGTATATGTAATAGGCTTTCAACGATGTCCAAGAAAAACTGACAAATAAATACCATATTTTTCAAAGAAATACTTTAATGAAACTGATAATGTATTATCTAACATGTCTAGAGGATATTTGTTTATTTTGCAAACGAGATTGAAATATATTTCACTGAGTGAGAACTAAATGCAATACTTTCACGAGTGACGTAGCCACGAGTGAAACTATGATAGATGGTGTTCACGAATGAAATATGTTTCAATCTTATATATAAAAACAAATAAATCTTTCTTTTTATTTCATGTTTTATAAGTATTTTCGTACTGATTTTGCCCCGCAACGTAGCGCATTCTCCTTTATGACGTCATCACATAATGACGTAACATCATTATTTTTGAAATATAGTTGTTACAATTTTTAACGACTTTCTTTCAACTTTATTTTCCTTAAGAAGCAAACATTTACGTATTACGGAACTTATTTATGCAACTTTTTCCTTTTAGTTATGATATTCTCCTAATCCGCATTTAGATATAGTCCGGTTACAGAAAAATTATATTTGATAAATTTCACTTATGGTTAATCAGAATATAATCATCTGCTATAATTACAGTAAATCACTTGAAAGCATGAAATAAGGATTACTTAATGCATAATCGGTACAGTTTAATACTGTTCTTTGAATAGTCTCCTTTTGCCTTTATTGTATGTTGTTACTCCGTTTTGCTCCTTTCGTTTGCGTGCCAACGTCTTTAAATATTACTTTGCTCCCGATAATTTGTCCGCCATTTAATTCCCGCCACACACATATTTATGCGCTTTTCGTGATATTATTAAAATATTAACCCAGGTAAACTGCAAGTGATTAACCAAATTATGATCATAAAGGTTTATTTTTATGAGATTTTATCTTCGTTTGACTCGTTTACATTACTTACATGTACCTTTTGACAAAAAAATATATGGTTACTTATATAAACTAAAAGATATTTTTTTGTCTCTTCTTTGTCTCTGCCCGCCCATATGGTTTATTTCCGGTGGCGATGGTAAACAAACGCAGACACACACTTTTTGTCACATTTTAAATTTGTAAAAACTATTCATACGTTTATGATAATAACAAAAGAAGGAACATGTGACAGTGGAATGAATAAGAAAATATTCTCGATTTAAAAGGAACATAGATAAAAAAACAGAACAAATGAAAAACGCATTATAATTATGTACATCTCATAACATGAAGGTGATTTTTTTTCAATGCCAGTTAACCTGCTGCTATGAATTAGGGCTGCTCTACCGATTGAGCTATTGTAACATTAATAAAATATCAGTAAAAGGAGAAGCAACATTTTATTTACATATGTAGCATTGAAACTGACTGTTCCGTACTACAAATAAATATGAAGAAACTTCTATTTATCAAAATTGAATTATAACATGTAGAGAATAGGTCAGCTTTGATGCAGGTTGAACTTACTATATAAATGCCAGTTTTAAACCGGAATACTAAGATATGACATAATTTCCTAATATATATTGAGCAGCAAAAGAAAATAAAAAAGTATTTTTTATACAAAGTACACATTTGTTCTACCCGCAACCAACTGATCTACTTGCAAGCAGTTAACGGTAGTGTTTATAATTAAAGTCAATATTAATACAAAATAAAACGTTGAAACAGTTTAAAATGACATCTAGACGAGCATGACAAATACTTTACCAGATGATTTTGTCGTACAAGACATGTATTAATCTTCTAGTTCCATTTAAATGTACTAGCCTATGTTGAAATTTTATCATTTGATTTAATTTTATTTCAAAAAACGACTATCAAAAAACGAACGACTAAATACAATGTGAGGAATAGTAGCGTTAAACATCATCTATTTCATCAATACCACATGTTCAAATTCTTATATATATTCTTTTTAAAGGAAAATATATATAGAAGTGTTGCCAGTTAATCCTGACATTAACTATATGGAAGTGTTGCCAGTTTATCCTGACTTTAACTGAATTCTTAATGCTTCCTAGCATCTATAAATATAAAAAATATTAACAATGCATATTTTACTAAAATGATACGAAACAATGGAAATAATGGTAACCTCATAAATGATTAAAACATCACATACCTATTGGACAGACAATATAAAAGTCTATAAATTCAATCTGGATTCTGTGATGATAGCGAGCTTGAATTCTAAATCTTTCTTCAAAATTTTCAAATGGAATATTTAAAATCGACATTGACGTAAGTATCATTTCTGGATTTGTACATGCTTCATTCCTGCCCTGGCTCCAATCTACACTTGAAGCGATGGACAAACACGCTGGGATATCTAGGAAAAAAGTAATTCGAGCAATTCAAGTGCCTTGAGATATAAATATGCTTCAAAATTTGCAACAAATAAAAAAGATAAACTCATGAAACAGTTTTTGAATTTAATTATCCCTCAAATACTTTTTTCAAACATTTAAACAGCTTAAAGGTAAGGATTATATAGCAGACCTTATTTTACAAAACAACTGAATACTTATTTGACTGTATCTACCAACTAAAATATATTGTGTCTGTAAGACAACCATGTTGTCAATTTATTCAAAAGTAATACAAAAATAATTGTATAATTATACAATATACAGAATGTATATAAGTAATGCCGCCGAAGGACTGAAAGCTCCAGTGAACTTAAATAAGCAAAATCAAAATGATTTAAAAAATAAGTCTTTATGATTCAACATTTTTATATATGCAAAGGGTATTATATTAAATCTATAAACGACGCACTTAAGCTTTTAACTATATCACATACATTAAAACCAACAAAAAATGTAACTGAATATAAATTGCTTCATGAAAGGCTTTGATAATTCAAATAATCGATATATAGAAACGTTTATTAGGAAAGAATGCCTACAAAACCTACCTTCTTCATTAACAACTGCACGGAATGAACTTCCCCTAAATGTATTAAAGCACGGCTGAAAGGTGAGTAGAACAAGAGTCCTATATGTTTCAACAATAAATATTCTTTTGTTAAAATTTGTTTTGATCTGAACGCCCTTCAATCGCTCCCGTAAGTCTGTCCCTATTACAAGCGTATCTTCACAATCATTGTTATTATCTCGCGTCTGAAATGAGAATGATTTGATATTTTTGTATTTTGTATACTTTTGATGCACTTACATCGAGTTCAATTATTATAATCGCATTAACACGTTATTTTAAGAAATACACACTAAATTTATGATCAATAGATCTAAGTTCCTAAACATTGAAAAAAATAAATGATTACAAATAGTATTTATTCAAACATTATATGTATTCGTTTAGCATTGTGTTTCTGTGGTGACTGTAAATAAAACACATTTGTTTATTACAGACCTTTTAATAAATATAGCATAAACTTCATGCATTTTGCACACGCGCACTCAGTCAAACAAACATTTGACTGCGAACACTCACCTAGCTTCTAAAATTTTGTCTTTTTATATTCAGTAATAACAAATTTAAAAAGGTCAAAGTGCGACATATACCTTACATAATTTTTGAGTTTAGATAAGAAGTGATGAAGAAGAAAAGTAAATGTTTTAATATTCTTGAATCGAATGAATAATCATTAATACTTATATATCCTTACAATTTGGTTTAATGTGACGTTTGTGAAGATTAGTCTCACATAGTGCTCATGTTTAAAATCTATTATCCATGTATAACTGTAGCCACTTCCTGTCAGAAAAGGATAGCCAATAGACATTATTAATGAAGGCTTTTGGACATACAGTGCGTTCGTTGTCATCGTCTTATAATTTTTAAAACTAGGAAAGAGTTCTGTTGAATCTGAAAAACAAATGTTTTATTTGTTCCCTTAAAAGTCAATATGAAAGGAATTCAAAGCTGAAAGCAAACCGATTTTCAGACCTCCGAAAGTATCGTTAGATGCGGGGTGTGAAAGTCTCTTCTTTAATTTGATTAACATTCATTTTGGATTTTTCTACCGGTAATATTTTTTCATTTATGACATTTTCATTTACACGGTATATGAATATCATATAAATATAGTGTGCATTACTCCGATCATAATACATGTTTGTATATTTACCTGATAGTTTGCATCCATGGATTTCGAATCGTAGACATAGTTGATCTACCTCATGACTTCCATTTAATTGTAGCATTATAAAACGAGCTGTAACTGCGTTTTGAAGAAAACATGAATGTTGCAGTCCAGACGTTAATTTGTCGACATCAATTGTAAACTGTTAAAGTCAATAATTTTTATATTAATATACTAAGAAAAATACAAATGCGTCTACCAACACTGACACCAAAAGCAAAAAAAAACGTATATTGAAGGCTTATTATTATACATCATATGGATAATAATGATTCAAATAAAATGATTTCAGAGATAATCTAAGACTTCTATTATTTACAACAATTAAATAATGGTTTGACATACTTATACGTATTAATATGACAAATAATTGAAAACAAGATTAAGAAATTCTCTTCTTTTTTCAAACCAAAAATGTCTTGACTAAAAGTGAAAATATTTGAATATTTTATTATATCTGTTGCTATTAGTGACAAATTTAAGTTAAACTAGTTTTGTACCAGTCTTTCTCTACTTGCTTACAATCTTGTTTGCATAAACTATTTTTGAACTTTTTGCCAAACTACAATACCTTTACGTCGGACATGCTTAAGTTATCCATTTGATTTCCATATAAGAGATGGAAAGACTCCCAATAAGCATTCGAATATACCTCTTCTGACATTGGAAACAAAGTCACCCCTTCAATTTTTGTTTCTGATCTCATGTCAACCTAAAGTCACAAACATATGAATAGAGTGTTCTGACCAATTTTGTTAGCGATACATTGTTATACAATTTCACCATTTAATGTTTTAAAATAAATCAAAGACTTTCCATAGTGGTATTTTTTGTCTTAACCCATTACTTCATGAGCATTTTGTGAAAAAATGGCTGTTTTCATTGAAAAACTTCTCGTTGCAAGTTCAAATTGATATGAAACTATAAAAAGCATTCAATACTATTCAAACTTGGCACAAATGTTGACTGGACCATAGCCTATGTAACCGCATACTCAATCTTAAATTTCCTGTTACCATGGAAACGAGGAAACATCTCAAAATTGCCAAAAAACACTATTTTGCGTTAGTTTTTCCTTTAAAACTGATTTTAAAGTGCTACCACTTCTCAATGGACTCAGATAAAGTCAAAGGCTTTTCAGTGTTGGTTTAACGTTACCTTAAGGTCAACCTGGGGCCATTTTAGCCTCTCATAAGTCCAAATTTTTCTTGGAGATGAGGGGATCTGTTGACCCCTTTCAAAACCCTAAACAGAAGGGGGCACATTCCCCTCTGGTACCCCCTTGATGTATCTATTTCATATCCGAAAAAGTGATCACTTTTTTGAACACCATTTCTCAAACGAAAACAATTGTTTCGTGTTTTAATAGGGCATTTGTTTACTATCTGAGGCCTCAAAAAGGAGGGGAGGGTGTTAAAAAGGCGTGAAAAGACGTCTATATGAAGTAATGGGTTAAATGGTTAAAACCTGAACTGTCCTTTACTGCTTAACTTGTGGATTGGTAATTCCACTTGTGGCTATGCTGATCTTAAAAATGCTAGCCACATGACGTCATTGTTAAACAAAAAGTTATGTGAATATGATTATTATGCTACGAAATTTAATTTATAAATGTACGCATTTTTGTTGCGTATACTCTGAAGCTTGAAAGTAATGACGGAAACTCGTTTGAAAATACATAAATATTGAATATAATTTTCAAACCATGATCCAAGGATTTGCATCTATCATTTTGTCAATGCACCAACCAGCAGAAGAAGGCCTTGCTTTGAATGGTGGGTTACGTTTTGAGAATGATGAGGCAAAAATTTGATCATTTTGAATGCTTCCATCTCTCATTCCAAGATCTTCATTACACATTTCTCCATCCACTGTCAATATGAATATTGCGTTCATGTGATGAAATATAAAACATCCCCACTAAGATTATCAAATCATTATGTTTTGTGTTTATAAATGTAGGCAATATCCACAAGGTATTGTATTTAGATTTTATGTTATATAATATATGAAGGTCAATAAAAGTTCATGTGAATCGATAAGTATATAAGAAACCGGTCGACACAACTTTATTTTGACACTCAGTTACCTTATCCTTTCCCGATTCGCTACATGCTTGAACTAATGTTATGACCTAAATATGTAACGATGCTGTCATTAAAAGAAATATGACAGAACACAGGAAGAAATTTAATTATATATATTAAAATTGTCCGCTTGCAGAAGTAAGAAATGAGAGAAGTGTCCTGAAACAACTAGCAGTATTTTCTGAATACAAGATGCAACACTCTGAAACATTAAAGAAGTGGTTGTAATGTAAAGAGTGATAAAATAATAACTTGAGACTTATTAGTTTAGGGAATCTGTTTACTATACTATTTTAATTACGTGATTGAAACTACAAAGAGCTGCATGGTGGATGCCGCATTTTCTCTTGTAGACTCAGGGAGACAAGCGGATAGTGATCAGCCTATATAGTTGCTTAAAAAGGTGAAAATTTGCTAGCACATATTGTAGTCATTGACAAACCTGGGATTGGATCGTTTTTTTTCTTCAACAGAATTAAAGCTCCACAGTAGTAAATGGCACTCTCCAAAATACCAAGACTAGAACAACTGTTCCGTAGTATGAACAATTTAAAAAGCATAAATGTATTTGCGCTTGGTGTTACATCCACTCACAAAATTATTGAAGGGCAGATATATATGCGTTTATAAAATATTTGTAAGAATAAGAACTTTTTCCAATGATACACCACACATCCCTCGAACTCATCATGACACGCAGCTTATTTTGCACAACAGTGCAACGTGCCATTAATAAGTTAAGGCGTCGTTTCAAAAATGAATATGAGTGAATATAATGTTGCTAAACACAGTGCCTATTCACCCATGATGTTTTATTTTGACTATAACTTGTTCTAAAAATTAATAATTACTCATGTGAGAAAATTCGTTACGGTAATTAAGATGAACTCTTTGATGCAGTGAACAGGAAAGTGCAGTCTTACAACTGGCATTTTTGTCATTGCAATAGAAATAGTTTTTGAATGAATGTACCCTCATTAATCCTACAATACACACAAGGTTAGTAGAAAATTTTGTTTTGATGGAACAACATTCACTTTTACCAGGAAAGTTTTAGGAAGTAAGAATACTTACAAGATTTAATACCATCTATGTATATATGGAATGATTTTTTGTTAAACCACTCTGTGGAATGTTCAATGCCCAAGACAATATAACGGGCACGGAAAGGACTGTAATAAATTGGTACATTTTATATATTTAATACACATAATCATAACATGCTTGTAAATATGAATATACAACTTTGTGTATTATATTAATAAGATGCGTACAAATAGAATAAACTGAAACAACTAACGTGACATTTTGTTTAAAGGAAATATATTTATGATACAAACCCTATTTTATTTTTATGTTAGTCTGATTTTTTATCAATGTTGATCTTAAAAGTTCTTTCTTTCGTTGCATCAAAATTTCATTCATGACCTTGATACTGCTATTTGGAAAAAATATATTTTGCTTCATCTTTTTAGGTTTCGTGATCGAAATATCTTACAGAAACCTAAATGAATTTATATATAAAGTGCAGTGTACTGGCATGATTGTGACAAGCTTTGTCCATTATGCCACACTGTTATCATTATTATTATTGTTGTTGTTGTTGTTGATACTGCTGCTGTTTTCTTATACATCTATAAGAATATTTTCTACAACTCATCAAAGGCATATGACTTGCTTGAAATTTGTTTGGACAAAGTACGTAAATAGTAACGTCACCCCAAAATTTTAGTCAACACTGAGAACAGCCGACGTTCAGATGCTTTGATAATTAAATATAGCTATCGCCGATGATATTTCTTTTTGTGTAAGTACAAAATGAGAAGTGTACTGAAAGGTTGGTACTTGGACAGAAATTCTTATATGGAGTTTATGAATTTGTTAAATCGATAATTTAAATAAATACATAAATAAAGTACGATAAGCTAAAATTTCTCGACTACTTTGATTTATAAATAGAACAAAATCACCAGATATCTAATTGTAAGTTAATAAAACAGTATTACAGTACCTCAAATACACAAAAAATGTTGATCCTTGATTCGCGCAAACATAACTACACTTCAATCCTTTCTCAAATAGTAATTCCAATCTTTTCTCGTCGTGGAAGCATTGCGACACACTCGTCTGGAAGGAAATACTACTGTGACTTACAATTTGCCTTCATTTTACGTATAATCTTATTAAGAACGTTCTTTTTGGCTTTGCACCACAAATATAAAATATATTACAGACAGGAGCCAAATTTGGACACTTTATTTATATGACGAGATATTCATGACCAAAGTAGTGGTTGATTTAGTGTTTCAATGTCGCGTTGCAATGAAATCTTTCAATCCCTTGGGATATTCCATCCTTTATATTTTCTAGTAAGCCATTACTAAATGAAAGTAGTACTTCCTACTTAAGACAATACAATGATACACACTATCAGTAACCTGACCTTTACATTGTTTGCGCGATTAGAAGTCAAAACCATTTATCTGATAAAAAGATCTACTGTACATGTGTTCCGAGAAATCTTTTCGCGCTTTTTTTAGTTAGCGCTTTTCGTTGTGGATACACTTCCGTGAATGTTTAATATCCGCGAAAAAGTTGCGTGTAACAAATCCGCTAGCATTTTAAGTTCAACAACTTAGATTATCAATGTGTCATTTTGATGTACTATGATGTAGCTTACACAGCACATTTCATGGTAAAATTTTTATTTGCAAAACGGTCTTGCTAAAAGAACTTTTGTATCCATTATTTACAGATTAAATAAAATCATATAATACATGCATGTTATTGACTGTTGACATTCTTTGAATGAAGGTAATTTTACTCGACGTGTTATTGGTTGTTACATTAACAAAAGCAAATAATAATATTTACTGTTTATCATTACGGTTCAAATTTATTGAAATGAAACAATGAATTTCTTTTCAGATAGTAAGATCAATCATAAATCACACGATTCTTTTACTCGATGTTATTATTTTAAATGCAAATAATAACATTTGCATAGAAATAAGTCATCCGAATGCATTTTCATTTTTTTCTGATATCAAAGAATTATGACAGAATGGTATTTTATATCTTACATATAGATTGTTTATGGATACAATTTTTAAATTTTGTTAATATCGTATGTCTGAGCCTTGTCTTCCGATTATAGAGAGATCAAATACAGAAACCTATTTAGTTGTGTTTTTTCTCCCAACGACTTAATATTCGCAAAATTTGCGGGCACTATGATTGAGCGAACGTTTGTCTCCGCAAAAACGCCATCGTTGTAAAAAAAGCGATTTTTTTTGTGGATCGTTTCTATGAATACAGTAATTGTGGCATTGTAAAACTTATTTTAAAATAAAGGCAAGCCTATATCATTATATTTTAAGTATTTCTAAAATATTCTTAATATCTCAAATGTTTTACTTGCAATTACAAATGAATGCGTTCAATCAATCTCACCTGACGAGGGATTCCATCACTGGATACAATTGCAATGCTATATACCTTTATTGAACGTCGCAGGTCAAAGTGGTACATAGCCTCTTTGACTTGATTTGGATTTCCTAAAATTGAAACTGAATTGTAAATATATCATTTATATAAATTATATCAAACTCGATTATTTCAATCTCGTTCCTAAAACGAAACAAAATACAATACATCAAACATTCAAACGATTCGACTTTATATACTTTTGTTTTGAGGGATACTAAAGGCTTCACACTTGGCTGTTTAATATTTTTATCTAACTGCTTAGATATTTTCCTTGAAATTGTATTTTGAAATCAATAATTGGCTGTCCTATACCGTAATGTTTTCATGTCAGATATTTAGCATTTGTGTTCTTATTCTACTTATCACACATTTTTTTTTGCATCAAAGTAAATGTTAAAGTCATACCATTTACACCCGAAAGAATGCGAAAATCAAAGTCCAACACCAACTCTGTAAAAACAATTGATATATAGATATTACTTTGTTTAATATTATTTCATATTTAGGAATATATCACGCTCTCTGACAATTTGCGAATACGCATTCACAACATAAGCACAAAGTGTTTAAAATAGGAACAAAGAGTGATTGAAACAGACGTCAGTGACAAGGCTGTCCAAAACTCAATGCTTTTTATTATCGTATCAATTCATCAGGGTCATGGTCCTTAATAATGTCTCTGCCGTTTTGATACAATTTATTCCTCGAGTACATTGTGCAAAAATATTTTTATCTTGAGCACGCTGGGCGAATGTTATATAGCGTAACACAATCAACAAAATTAATAAACATTCCATAATTGCACACCCATGTTTGTTCTCCTAAATTTATACCTTCTATAAAATGCATATATAACGGTGCCTCAAAAATGACATACTATACAGTTTTTTATGTCATTAATAACATTTCGTAAAAACATAAAATATTCGTTATTATAACGAAATAACATTTCTTAAAAAAAAATCAAAATAATATTTCGTAAAAACGAAATAATATTTGTACAACGAAATAAAAATTTGTAAAAACGAAATAATATTCTGTGTACAAACGAAATAACAGTTTACAAAATTGGTTTACAATCTTGTACAGCTCTTGTAACGAAATGCTTTTCTTTGTCTCTACGAAATATTATTTTGTTTTTACGAAGTATTATTTCTTAAATACATAATGATATTCCGTAAAAACACGAAATAAAAAATGTGTCACGGGTGTCTGTTTAGTGGCAACGTCTGAAATTGTGGATGGTATTCCTAAAGAGCCATATAAATATGAAGTCCATTTAAAGTACGTAACAACTTGGGTGAATTTTATCCATTAAATTGATCCGGATGAATATATTTCTTCATATGAAAATTCATTTTCTTTTCCTATGAAAATGATATACAGGTCTTACCGCTTGTATCAACCTAATGCGTCCTGACCCTGCTCAAATTGCGATTGAATGTCAACAAGGACTTTGGGCCATTGAGGTGTAACGATTAGTTTCTATTTTGTCTTTCTAAAGATGATTATCAGCTTATCTTTCTAAATAATAATACTTTAATTAACAACACGTGTGTATAAATTCAACAGACTATGATATTTTTATTTAACAACTTGGGCTTTATGTTGGGGTCGGGAAGGGTTTTGGGACAATGATTAAACATTGACATGAATTACTTTAATTATTTTACCATAAGATATTTTTTTGTAAACTGACATAAAATGAAGTAACAATTCATAGTTGTACGTCAACAAAGTTGTATTTCAAGTTGATCTGGATTATTTTTTCCATTTCACACCATGACACTGAACATCACATTTAATCGCTAACAGCATCATAAATACTTTCATTCTTTGTAACTGAAGTTTCATGAGATGACCTTTACTTACGATTTTCTAATTTCTGGTCCCTTATCTCTGAATGGCCATTACTTATTACTTGTTGTTTATATTTTCATTTTGTAATTGATTATAATAACAATATTTCTTGATCTTATTTACTTCGTCATAGAACTTACACGTGATTTTTGAAATATATGAATTCACGTAACTGAATGAGAAGAAATTGATATGAAGTCTTATGTTATAGCATAGTGTTGTTTAACTTCAGTCATAAAAAGAGCGTAACAAGAAAAAAATTGATATTTATATTACAGGAATAAGACATATCTTTGATATAAAATATATTGTCAGATATGAGTTATTTGCCCTGTGTTTGAATTAATTCAATTTAATGAAATAATCAAAAACAGCTTATGTGATAACAAATAACAAAATAAAATAAAAAAAAATTGTGGTTTGCTTGCAATTGTGTTTAGTAAATCATATTTTGAGGGGTTTTGTGTTGCAGCAAATTGGAGTAAAATTGATGTGATTTCCATATCAATACTTATTTTGGACCGGTAATAATGATTTATGACAAAAGCTTTAATTTAAGTTTAATTAAGAATAATTTTGGGTTTCTTAGCTAACCCGAGGATACAAACAAATAATCTTTTTACAACTAAATCTTCGAAAATTAGCGGAACGGGTACGCTTTTTTAAGTACCAGATAACATCTATGAAGTCGTTGTTGAGTAGAATATTGAAATACATATACTAGTTAAGCCTAGAAAATACAAGACATTTTGTGCTATATCTTAAAACCAACTAATTTATTTTAGAAATTTGACCGTTACACTTATATAAGATGTGGTAAGCTTTAATTGTCATTATTTTTGTCTACAAATCATTGTATATTGTTTGATATTAAAATACATTCAAATATATAGCAAGTTTATATGCATATATTGTGAATACATTCCGTCATTGTACAACGACAGAGGACAGTATATCGCACATAACCATCCTTGATAATTGCTTTAGTGATTGCACTTACATTTGAAGCTGTTTATGCGGAAATATTTCCATATTTAACAGCCGCCTAAATGAAATATGCCGAAAAAGTCAGGGATATAGCAACCCGCCGCTGTTGCATTTTGCATTTTAAGTTTAATTATCATACATTTTATGTAATTCAAATGAATGACGAACACAGTTTGGACCATATATAAATATTTTATTTCATAATGTGAACTCTTAACATGACATCTTATATTTTAATATGCGAAACCGCCTTTTAAATTGTACTGGTCAAATATCAGAATAATTGATAATGTATTTGAGAGTATATGTATTTCGTAACATTTTATGTCACTAGCTGTCATGATAAATACTGGTCTAAAATCCAGTAGAGCAGTTCGAATTGTGGAGTTGACTCGTACAATTTGAACACTTATATAGTATTAAAATGTGAAACATATGTGCGTTTTCTTGCTACTATACAACACGACCAGGACTAGCGTGGCAAACTAATGACACACAGTTTCGCTTACTGAAATCTCAGATGGGCATGCCTTGGGATACAATTCATTATGAACTTTAGTTAAAGGCATGCACCGATCCAGCTCCATATGTGCAGTCAAACTCCCGGTCCTTTCGTTCAGAGCAATTCAAATCAAATAGACGATGGAACTTATCAAAACCTGCCCAGCCCCTGTCGAAGGTTTGGCCAAATACATGCTGGCCTTACAATAGACAATACTGCAGATCATCTAACTGCACTTTAACCCATGTCTGTGGTTTCTGTAAAGGTACCAACCATGCAGGCGAGTGCCAATATCGAGACAGAGAGCATGCAGCTCAATCCCTCCTAGGTCAAAACCAAGGGAAACAACCCAACTTTACCAAACAACATTCTGTCAAATATGTGCAGAAGCCAACTTCCAACACAGTCTGGCCGTTATGGGTTGGTTTATTGACAACCCATTTGTGGTGGTTTTCACTGCCAGATATGTCGGAAAATTACCATACTCTTGTTCACATTATACTTATGGCTTAATAAAGCCCAACTATTAATTGAATAACAGGGTTGTTTTTTATTTCTCCAAACAAGCTTCAATTGAGTTTTGATGGTTGTCGCAGTCAATATAAATGTATTTTATGTGTCATAAAGTTATTTATATGCATGACTACAAAATTCTTAATATACAGTTGACTCTCAATAAGTCAAAATCGCTTTTCTCAAAATTCCGCGTTAGTCGAAGAATTTATAAAGTCCCGTCAAATTTCCTTCTTTATCTTTGTATTTTAACTCCGCTTAGGTCAAATTTTGACTTACCGAGACTCCTGTTTAGTCGAAAAGAAAATTTGGTCCAGTCAAATAAAGTCCAACATATTTTCATCTCAATTAGTCGAAGTGTGAAAACAGACGACCGACATCAAGGTGAGATGTTGTCACTCGTGATTTACACGTTTCATAGTAATTTTTAATTGGTCATTATGTATTATTAACACGTCGTATAAGAGGATTTAATCCATTTCAGCACTTAATTGGTTTTAACAGTTAGATAACTAAATTAAAATTTAATTACATTTCTTTAAGAAAGGTGACTCGTGCCAGTATGACGGGTGTTAGTCAAATAACAGCCTAGGTATCGATGTGTGTTATCAACGTAAATAACATTTGTACAATTAATGTTCCGTCATTTTGCATACATTAATTTGTACTTCCGGTTCACGATAGTTGCTACTTTCGTTTTCGTTCGATGATCAATTAAATCAAATATAATTGTGTGTTTCTGTTTCACTATTTATATACATGTATTAAATTTCAAATAATATATTTCTATTCATTTACTTTTTGTGGTTGTAAGTGATAAACCGTCATATCAACGGTTAAATATTGCAGCATTGCCGCTAACAACAATAATAAAAACTACTTCTTTGCACATTTAATCAGGCACATGTATATACATGTACGACTGTCAACGTAATGGCGGCAGTTCCACGTTACTCGAATTTCGTTTCTCTCGAATTAAAATGCCCAGTCCCTTGGATTTCGAGTAACTGAGAGTCAACTGTATATGTTATGCAGGTAGAGGTCCGCATACTGATGTTTCGTTGCCGACTTATAAACGGTGCATTAAAAATTATCCTACGTCATTTCGCGTACATCAGTGACAAAAAACTTGCAATTGCTTTGCCACCCTCCCACCGCTACTATATAAAGTACAGCATTACGGTTTGCAGATGAATGATTTTGTAAATAAATGCTTAATTTTTCTAATCATGACGGTTTTTTCCCTGCCAGACATGTCAAAAATTAACCATACTTTTGTTCAAATTATACTTATGGCTTAGGCGGTTTTTTTCCTGGCCGATATGTCAAAAAATTATCATACTATTGTTCATAATATACTTATGGCCTAATAAAGCCTAAATATCAATCTAATTACAGGGGTGTTTATTATTTCTCAATACAAGCTTCAAATTAGTTTTTGGTGGTTGTCGAAGTTAATATAAAAATATGATGCGATAGATTTTGAATATTGTTGACGTGCTTAAGTTCTTGTTATTCTCTTGATATATTTCAACCTAGATTTCAACCTAGAGCAGACAGACGTTCACATTCCTTGTATGCTGATTTTGATATACAAACCCACTATAAAAATCTTTAAAAACGAGAACACTCGGTAGAATCAAAAAGCTATATCTTACAATTTAGGAAGTGGACAAATGTAATAGTTGTGAAATCGCCTGAGACATAAATAACTCGTATGGTTACATAGTTGAAAGGATAATTCTACTCTGCATGTCAGCGAATGGAGAGTCAATTGTTGGCTATAGTCTTTGATTGCAACATCTTTTGCACCGATTTTCTGGACTCAGGAATCAAGTTTTTAAGAATTACACTTGGCACAAGTTTTACAATTAATCGAATTTAACAAGATCTAGACAAGAGTAACTACTTTTTCAGAAGATAATGAAGCTGTCACAACAAGAAATTAATTTTGTAGGTATCATATTAGGAAAAAAGCATTCCAAATGTTATGTTTCTTCTGTTTATTCTCAAAACTCTCATGAGCCAACACCTTTGTTGAATCTTGCAGGAATTACAGGACAGCTCTGATAAAAACACGATAGTGTTTGTCACATAAAATATGGACCTCCGGCTAGTAAAAATAGACAAAAACGTAATCCTTCAAGAGAGCAAATACTGGCAACATTGGAGAATAAAGCAGGCTCGGTCAAATGTAGAAGTAGGAATACTGGAACCACTTAGCTAGACAATAAAGGGACTAGAAATTTCACAAACAAAAAAATAATGTCATTCCTAACGATCTCTAATATAAGGTGAATAGCTATAGATCAGATGGAAACAAAATGTGTGGTAGGAGTTCTTAACTAGAAATATAAAGACAAAGAGTTAAAAAGCACCACCAGATTCTATCTTGACTTATAAGTTTTAGCCGTTCACTCAGCATGATCCTCAAAAGTAGAGCAATTAAGATGACTGCCATGCCAGTAATGCCCTGACCCAATATCGCTTTACAGCCATTTTAATATGACACATGTCCCTTTTATGAATGGCATGCTGCTGCACATTAAACTTTGCTTTCTATGGTCACCTCTCTCATTCAAATAGAGTCCAGAGTTGATGTTTGTTGGAAAGGTGCCAATGTTTATTTTTCCTTATGCTTGCGTTAATATCACAATGCCAATTCAGCTGATTCTTTTCCACGATCGATAGTGCCAGATAATTTTAATTCAGTGTCGGAACCTCTTATATCTTGTACTTGTTTGAAAAGATACTTCATGGGCTGTAAAATTTAAATAAGTTGCATCTCGAAGAGTCGAAAATTTCTTTCTATATTAGATTGTACTTCAGAGAAAGCTTAATTATAAGGCCTATGTATGTACAACCTTTGCAGGTCAGTGCAGCTCAAGAAATTGTTCGTTATAGTAATTACATTTCATATGGCGTATCAGAGGATAACGAGACCAGTAACGTTTTAATGATTGTGAACAACTTTGTTAAAGTTGAGCCTGGTTGGTCCCTTAATATATTATGATGTTATCATCAATAGAAGAAGGTCTTCTGCAAGATGTATGTTCGTTAAGTGGACCTTAAAATGAAAGTGCTTTTGTTTGGCAGTCACGTGGCGTTTGTACTACATTTTATACGGCGTATGAAATATAAATATTTTGTTGAAATATCATCCAAACTTTACAAGACTTACCAGTTCATTGTACCAAGTCTTACTATTATATAGAAACCGGGTGTGTGCTATCTGTAATCTGACCCGAAATGAAACAGATCATACAATAATATCACTTGGACACGATCTGCCATTTTGGATCATGATATCAAATAATTACCTATTGGTGATGTCTTTGGATAATAAAATATAATTTACTTAATCAAATAAACGAAAACCTTAATTTTTTAAACTGACCTTCCGGTCAAAAAAGAACTAGTTGATAGACGAATAAACATCTTGCTGAAAGAATATGGGTACAAGAGTATATAAAGTAAAATATGGTAAGTTTTGACCGTCAAGGGCTCGTTAATCTAAAAGTAGAGAGAAACATTAGTATTTTGGGAGACGCATAAATGGAAAACTTAAACTAGCAAACAGAAGTTTCTTAAACTAGCATGATGAAATAGAATCACGATTGAACAAACCTTCGGAACCACTTTCTAAATATTGCAGTCATCTCCCCTCAAAGTGATTTTTTTAACTTTCAGGTCAGTTCAAATGGTCCAATTTGTATGGCCAGACTTTATCAATTGTCATTACCGTTTGCACTCCAATTATGTATTGCACAATGGTTTAATTAAATCAGCGCGGATAAAAAAAACATTTACAATTCCAATGCGAGAACAATGACATCAATTTATGTTGTATAAATTCCCATTCTTATCTTGTTTTTATTTTTATAATGCTCGATGAAGGTTCGGTGAATATCATTTTCTTCAACTTATTAAGCAACATTACAATTTATTGCAACGAAAGTGAAGTTCGGCACACATGTATATAATACGTATCCGTAAGGATATATCACCAACTGTAACGCTAAGATGCAAAAAATGTGAAATATAGCATTTTTCTGGTCTGTCTTTTTGTCATAAAACTGAGTAATGTATGATAATATGGAAGTAAACAAGCTGGTGTATTGTTTGTGAAAAAAATGCAATTATTACCCCCCCCCCCCCCAAAAAAAAATTTTTGTTGGTATATTAAAAAAGGCGTGTATTGAGACTTGACGCAAATAAAATAATGGTTTAAGTAGAGATACAAGTATTACAAGGCCTGGTTATTAAAAGGGCACAAAATGTCTTCGACAACAACCCTAAAAACTTAAATGTTGTGAACGTTATTTTGATTAAGACACTCAATGCAACTCTTGTAATCAAAATGACAAAAAAGCCAAATGCCGGTTAAGCAAGAAAATGAGCATGCTTTATTACATGTATTAAAATCAAAATGTTGAATGAAACTTCTACATCGATTAAAAGCTGCGACTCGAATGTTTAAAGAAAACACGTCATTTTTAGATTGAAACTATAGTGCCGCGGAAAGATCAAATTGTGTGTTTTGCACTGCTTAAGGTAGTATTGAAATAATAAATTAAGCTTGGAAAATATGAGTTGATATTATGTGTGCCGCCATTCGACTTCTTATCATTTCCGGCGTCATAAGTTACGTGGGATGGCCAACTTCCTCTAAACCAAAATCAGTAAGACGGATGAAGCATTTTCTGAATACTTATAAGCTTGAATTTTAGGGAACTTTATCATGTTACATCCTTTCCTATAAGCATTACATATTTAACTATTACCATGCTACATATCTTTAATGGCCCTGTTAATCTAATAGTCTTGTTCATATTTTTATATTTAAAACAAAACATATAGACCGAATATGAAATGGTGGAATCCATGGGTATTACGGCATATCCTGAGCTGTACTGGTCGCATGGGTGAAACCGGTTGCTTCCAACATGTTAAACGTAGCAAATAAACATTTTACTTACGTGTTTCAAGCGGTCTTAGTGATCTCTGAACCACTGAAATAAATGTAACAAAGTACTAGGTTTCGGAAATTGGCATGAAACAAAAAAAATAAATACAATTTTAACCTAAAAAGACAAGAGTATTAAGTTTGTGGTACCTATCAATAACGAAAGTCAATATAAGAGGAGTGTCAAACTAAAAGTATTTAGATGGACGTCACATATTAGGTTGTTGTGTTAACGTTAATTGTCATCCTATGCATGTGTTAAAAATAAGCTTTCATTACTTTTGTAACGTGTAAATGAGTCGTTCATTAATAATTCTAAACACGACATAGGCACATTTAAAAATGTTCTGAAAACAACTGATGAAATCTCGCACACTTTGCCTTTAGACATGTTAGGTCTTGTGATATACTTAACTAAAGGTTTGCATGTGTATCATTTTTGGAATACTTTAAGCAATGTGTTGTAAGCTACGCTTACTTTATTTCACATTGCAATAGTACTTGTCTACAAGTGTTTATTAAGTTCAATTCAACTGCTTAATTGCATTGTTTATTTACAAAAAAGTTCTAACAAACCTGGTTCAATGCCGCAATACTTCTGTCCTTGGAGAGAATTTAATTTATCTGGGCAAGGTGTAGATTTGCTCTGTAAAATAATTGATCATTGAAAGTAAGTAAACAACCTTACTTGTGTTTTTCAGTTTGAACATATATGTCATTACTGTAACCAATAGATCATAATTAAACCAATACATTATTATTTAATATTGATATCTATTAAGTGTGCTGATATCTTGCCCCTCTAGGTCCGAATTTAGCTAATAACTTTAGATCGTTAATGTGAGAAGGCTATCGGAATGTGGGCGGTTCTACTCAGGTGCTCGCTCGGGTCTTCCTCCGCCAGTAGAGCTGGTGTTGTATAAGTTACTAAAATATGTTAGTTCTATATAATTACATTAGCCTTTTAAACACACCTGGATATTTCAAAATAGCTTAATTAAACATAAAAGATTTTTATATTGCGATTAAGTTATCGGAGAACTTTGTTTTCATTTATTAATTCAACAGGAAAGTTTTTCGGCGTTTGAAAGTAATGAATAATTGATTAATTTTGTAGAATAGGAATCGAGGGACCATGATTTGTTTACTGATTTGTTGTCAAATTAATCTGGAAATTAATCTTTATTTCGTGAATAATATCAATCGGCAACAACAATGAGTGATGAGAATGCGTAAAATGTTTTTAAAGCGTTTGCTCATTATCCTTGCTACATTTGGACCTGCTGACAAGTGACCACGAAAACTTTTAGTGTTGTTCATAAGATTTTGCTTTTATCTTGCTTCATATTACTCGAACTGCTTTTGACTATCATTTTACAAATCCAAATTCGAATGGTGAACCTATTAAAGTAACATCTCTAATTTGCGTTTTATAAATAACGTGCGATCGAAGTAAAATGTTGTTTTTTTATAGAAAAGTTTAAAATCTTTTATGCTTTAATTTTCCCTTTTTGGGCATTTCTATAAGAATGCTTTGTTAAATCTTGATTATAGCAAATTTAAAAAACAGCAACAAAAGTATGGTATGTATGAATACCTTGCATTACTGTAAGGTTACTTTAGAAGAGACCTTTATATACACGAATATGGATTAGCAGTGTACCACTAAAAGAGATTCTATTTGTCATTGATAAAGTAACCTTTACTCTTAATTTATTCTAATGATTTTGTTTCAGTACAATTGTATCTGCTTCACCATTTCTGTTTGATAGCACAAAAATCTTAGTTTTAATTATTTCATTAATTGCACTGAAAATTTTATTATTTATTAAAATATTCATATGGTGATAAAATACAAGGGTAAAATCAAAGTGCTGTGCAATCAATTAGAAGAGAATTTATTTACATTGCCATTACCTTTAAAACAATAAAGGACGTTTCTAACATTCTGTATGTAGCTTTATTTCCCCTTTTGTTTCTCTTCAAACTATTACCGATCTTTTTGCAGGTGCCTATTTCTAATATCTTTTCCTTTGCAATTTCTGAAATAGAAATGTAAAAGAAAACCAACACGCAAAGAAAAGCCATAAGAAAATTCACCTGTTCTTAATATATATATTGACAAAATTGCATACTTGATTAAATGCAAATGAATGTCATAATTATAGCAGTAAGCACAACTAATGAACAATTTACATTATTTTAGGAATAAAGTTTTTACACAAGAATAGCGCTAACCCTCCCTTTTTCGTGAATTCACACCTGCAGAAGCATTTGGACTGATTTAAACCTTCACACTGCGGACTACGGTTTTAAATGCGTTCAATAATCTGCAGATGTTTATGCAAGGACACAGGTGCATTAACTTTTTAATGTTAACACAAATAATAGATTTTATCCTGTTTTCGACAGTTGCTGGTGTTTGACAACGATCCTACTGTAAAAGGTTTGTCTGTAACATGATCAGATAAGCTTGAGAAATAAAATAATCTGAATCACTGAGTAACCCTAATGCTCTGAATGTTACATTAAGCAGCTGTTGTTCATGACAAAATGTTTTATGGACGTTAGCTGAAATTTTGTACTTTGTGGTAAAGTTATTAGGATAACAAGACATACCTTTTTCTGTTATATTTGGAATAGGTCCAAATGAATCATATTCAAGACAGGATTCTCGTATTGTGCTTTTTCTAAAACCTAGAATAAAATAATGTATTCACATTTGTCTGATTGTTTATTTTCCATTCGTACACTGAATGTACTTTTCAAGGTTTTGCGGGTTAAGATATAAAAAAAGGTAAAACAAATTTGTGAACAAAGGTCATCCAAGAGGAATACAGAACATAGCTTTTAAAGACACGTGGACATTATTTGGAGGTTATTTTGTTCTCTCTAACCAGTCAAGAGCTTTGAAGAGTGGTCTTCATTTACTGGGTGATCTCTATTCGAATGGGGCCTTTAACAGATGTTTGACTGTTCAAAAAAATATTTTCATCTTTATCGGAAACAGCTTAATCATGTCGAGTATTATATATATATATATATATATATATATATATATATATATATATATATATATATATATATATATATATATATATATATATATATATATATATATATATATATATATATATATATATATATATATATATATATTTAAAATGTTATAGCTATAGTATACATATTTACTAGAAAATCAGCCATTTCACGTCAATTTTCTTGAATAGTATGTTAAATGATCAAAAAGGTAGATTTACTTATTCTTGGTATAAGCAGCAAGTAGAAATACCATTGAATAACATGAACACAAGTATCGTTATGCTTCATATCCTAACGTGACTATGTTTTTTATTGACAGGGCCCAGAGCTGTATTTTGAATAATCATGAACACTCGATTGATAAGTGTCATGCATGTCATAAATAAATAAATAAACATATGCAGCAATGTTTTGCTTTAAGTCAGAATGGAACTGTGTTTGAAGGATGGAACAGCGGCATGTAAATCCCACCAGAGGTTTGATCTGTGAAAGCCAGAGATTTTTTCTCTTTTTAGTTCTGGTTGCCATTTTGTGCAGTGGAGCAGAGAATGCAGGCAATATGCACAACAAGGTTTGGTACTGATCCCTCCGGTGACAATTCATCAAATTCCTTACATTTTTTTTACCTGTGATGGGGCACGATTTTTTCTATTTTCTGCTCTGGACCCCATTTTGTACTTTGAAGAAAAACATGCAGGCTATATGAACAATAAGGGTTGGACATGATCACTCCTTTGAACTTTCGTCCAAATCCCGCCAGGAGTTTGACATGTGAAAGCCAGAATAGTTGTTTAGGTATGTCAGCCATTTTGTGTAGCGGGCCATATGCCAACTACGGTTCATATTGATAACTCCTGGCAAAAAAACATGTTTCCTAAAAAGTTTGGGAGACAGAAACATACCTCCCATTACATAACATATTTATCCACTCTCATAATTTAAGCTGTCAATCACTTTCCTTACCCAAGATCCTTACTGATCATATTTTACATGATACAACAAGAATTCTCATCATGTTAAGCAAGATTTATTAAGCCAACTTGCATGCAAGCGGTAAAGAATAGCGCACCAAAACATTTTATTGGTAAATGGATTCAGGATTCTGCCCACACTGTTTGGAGGGGGTGGGGCGATGATAGAAACTTAAATAGTGACGTGCCCATGAACACGAAAATATCATGAATTTTAGGAAATTGAAAATTGCTTTATATCATAAATATATATATATATACACATTAGATAACCAAACCAAAACAAACCTGCTGGGCATTCCTCTCCAATCCTATAAATTGTATATCTTCCGGGAATCCATTTTTCTGTATCTAGTTCTGTATCATCTCGTTGTTTAACACACAAGTTCAATGGGTCTTCCTGTTTATTTTTTCCAGGTTTCTTTCTGTAAAGAACGCTTTTTGTCCATCCACGACTTTCTGATTCGGGACACCCATAACTTGACCTAGGTATTGCAAATGGACCTGGTGGCCAAAGACTTGGCTTTTGTCGTGGAACTGATTTACAAAGGTATAAATAAATATTGTAACACAATATATTTTATACTCATTGCTTATACTCTTATGACACGATCGCATCAGTCGGATAAATTCTTAGATAAGACTTTTTATTTTCTTTGTCGAAAACTTCCTGATTAAATAGAAGTCGTTCATGCTAAATGCACTTTTATAATGAAATAAAGTAGTAAAGAAATGGGTTTCAATTGGCAAAAGATAATTTAAACAATTTATAAGAATACATGTATATGATTTTCTTATCTTTTTTCTAATTTTTACCTTTACTTATGTTAAGTGCCTTGCAATCTACTCTTTCCAACTTCTGTTCACATTCCGAGTATTGAAAATTTGTAATTTCTTCAACAAACTTTTCTTGTGTCAATACTGAAAAAATAACAAGAGGGCCATGATGGCTCGAGTCGCTCACCAGAAACAACTGCTTTTCTGTGTTGGAAATTATTTTTCAAAAGAAGTTGCTGAAAGGCAAGTCCAGCTCTTTCCGCAAGTTCAACTCAACTTTAACTTACCCCTCTATACTTTCACAACACTGATTGTTTTAGCTTTTTTCTTCATAATAAACAATAGGGCCACTAAGATGGCCCTAAATCACTCATTTAAGCCATCATCTTATTATTCACAATATAAATCGAAATATTTTTTTGCCCTAATATTTTGGAAAGGCTTTGTTATAAATATGTATGTTGCAAGTGTGTTCCTATGAGACTATGTAGAATAAATGCAGAATAAATGACCCCTAGAGCATGATTAATTTTGACTGGACAGTTTTTTTTATAACTTTTTTTGAATGAAAACACAAAATGTCACATGCAAAACATGTAAGGTGTAGATGTTTGAAGTTTACAATTTGGGACAACACATTTTTTATACATTCTTTATTGTAACATAACTGTACCTCAAAAAAGAAAAAGAAAATAGATCAAACATTGTAAGAAATATGAAAAGTAGGCCAGTTGATATCAAAATAATTCAGCATCAGAAATCACACCCCTAGTACAAATTTCAAGTCTGTATGTCATAAAACACAAGAATGAAGATCAAATTATATCAAAAAATCAAAAGTAGGTCAGTTGATATAAAAATTCATTTCGGCATCAGAATTTACAAACCTGGTCCAAATTTAAAATCTGAATGTCAAAATACAAGAAAGTAGGTCAAATGGTGTCAATAATACCTAAAGTAGGTCAGCTGGTATTTAAATTGAGTTCAACATAAAAAATTACACAAATTACACCCCTGGTCAAAATTTCAAGTCTACATAAAAGACAAAGAAAGTAGGTAAAGTGATATCAAATATATCAAAAGTAGGCCAGTTCATATCAAAATTCACATCAATTCAGGATCTGAATTGAAATTAAAACCATTCAGTAGCCATTGATATCTTAATTCGTTTCGCATTAGAAATAACATTCCTGGTCCAAATTTCAAGTCTCTATACATCATTCCAAATTTCAAGTCTCTGTACATCAAAAACAAGAAAGTATGTAACAATGGTTTCAAAAATATCAAAAATAGTTCCACTGACACCAAAATTCAATTATGCACATGAAACTCAGGTTCAACAGTCTGTCCCAAAATTTATTGAGATGTGCTTTTTCCAAGTTTAAATCTTATTCAACAAAAAAAAGTACAATTTTTAACAAAATTCAATAAAAAAATGAGCATACAAACTCATTTTTGTTAAAAAAAGGTACTGGAGAAAAAAATTTAATGTTTCTTTAGGCCTATTTTTTTCCTAGTTAATGACCTACAACTGACCTTACAATGATGAAATATGATGTCCAAATTTTAGAGGTGTGAGATATTCACACATTATAAACAGGTCATGACATTAAGACTTTCTCCAAGCCATTGAACCTTTTTTGGAAAAATTGAATAACATATGTACACATTTCAACATGAGTTGTTTCCCTTCATTATGAAAAGATATCCTATACCCATCTTTGAGTCATAGAAATGTATTGAAATTTATTAAATTCTTACTGAAAATTATGTATGGGAAGCTGCATCTCCTTTAATAGGCCAAGTAAAGTTGGTCTTTTCTATAAAAAAACAACAACAAAAAACAACAGTTTTTTAATGACACTATCATTATATTGATACTGTGAGAACCTATAGTGTGAAGAGTTTAAAACATAACATAACTACTTTGTGTGATGTCAAAACACGATTATTTTGTAATCCATTGTCAATATTTTCTAATATTAAATTTGAGCATAGAATATCTTTAAACTATAATTTGAAGAAATGCCATGGCGTGGGGCATTAAAGCTTTAGCTTAAACAGTGTCAATGCAAACTTGACAAAAAATACCTAAGAATGATACAGACAAAGTTTGGTGATCATCCATCAAGTATTTCAGTAGGAGATGATGTTCAAAGGTTTTCTATATTTAGCTTTAGCGGCCCCTTTAAGGGGGCAATCAAATTAATATGAACAAACTTGATAAAAGACTACCTAAGAATGCTACAGACAAAATTTGGTGATCATACATCCATTACTTATGTACAAAGAGACATTTAAAGGTATTTCTATTTTAAGCTTAAGCTGCCCTTAAAATGGGCCAATCAAATAAATATGAGCAATTTTGATTAAAGACTACCTAAGAGTGCTACATACAAAATTTGGTGATTTCAGAAGAAAATGATGTTTAAAGATTTTCTATTTTTAGCTTTGGAGGCCCCTTAATAGGGCCAATCAAATTTATATGAGCAAACTTGATAAAAGACTACCGAAGAATGCTACATACAAAGTTTGGTGATCATCCATCGATTAGTTCTGTAGAAGGAGATGTTGAAAGTATTTCTATTTTCAGCTTTAGAGGCCAAAAATGGGCCAATCAAATTAATAAGAGCAAATTTGATAAAAGACTACCTTAGGATGTTACAGACAAAGTTTTGTGATCATCCATCAATTAGTTCTGTAGAAATAGACATTTAAAGGTATTTCTATTTTTAGCCTTTAGGGCCCCTAAAAGGGGCCAATCAAAATAATATTAGCAACCTTGATAAAAGACTACCTGAGAATGCTACAGACAAAATTTAGTGATCATCCATCAATTAATTCTCTAGAAAAAGACATTAAACGGTATTTCTATTTTGAGCTTTTGCGGCCCCTTAAAGGGGCCAATCAAATTAATATGAGCAAACTTAATAAAACACTACCCGAGAATACTACCAACAAAGTTTGGTGATCATCCATCAATTAGTTCTGTAGGAGAAGACGTTTAAAAGTTTTTCTAATTTTAACCCTAAAGACCCCTTAAAGGGGCCAATCAAAATAATATTAACAAACTTGATAAAAGACTACCTGAGAATGTTACAGACAAAGTTTGGTGATCATCCATCAATTAGTTCTGTAGAAATAGACGTTGAAAGGTATTTCTATTTTTAGCTTTAGCAGCCCCTAAAAGGGGCTAATCAAATTCATACGAGCAAACTTGATAAAAGACTCCCAAAGAATGCTACAGACAAAGTTTGGTGATCATCCATCTATTAGTTCTGTAGAAGAAGATGTTTAAAAGTTTTTCTATTTTTAGCCCTAGAGACCCCTGAAAGGGGCCGATCAAATTAATATGAGCAAACTTGTTAAAAGACTACCTAAGAATGCTACAGACAAAGTTTGGGGATCATCCATCCATTAGTTCTGTAGAAGAAGATGTTTAAAGGTTTTCTGTTTTTAGCTCTGCTGACCCTTCAAAGGGGCCAATTGGAATGACATGAGCATATTCAAGTGTGACTGTCGCAAGGGTGCTACAGACCAAATTTGAAGTTAATCTGCTTAGTAGTTTCAGAGAAGAAGACGATTGTTGACGCATGACGACGGACGACGGACGCCGGAGCATCCCCTTTGATACTATTAGCTCACCCTAAGCCTTCGGCTCTGGTGAGCTAAAAAAAGCCGGTTGGACCGGATGATGATCCCCAACAAATTTTGGACACAGACAAACTACTTTCTATTTGATTCTCACAGTGTAAAAAAGAACAAAGGTCAATAACTTTAATATAAGGCAAGGCAGAGTTTCTGTATTTACGCATTGTAATTCGAATAATGATATCTATTTACAAAGATTCTTCTTGATACCTCTTGTAGTTTCTAAGTTATGTCCTCGACAAAGTTCAAAGTGTAAAAATGAATAATGGGCAATAACTCCAAAATTAGGCAACGTGAAGCACTTTCACTCAATGAGATCTATCTATCTATCTACAAAAATTCTTGTTGATACCTCTTTTGGTTTGAGTTATGTCCCGGTCAAGAAAAGGAGACGAACTGACGGACGACATTCGGACGGAAGGACAAAGACTATATGTTTCCCTTCAAAAAGCATAAAAACATTCATGAATTTTCATTCGTTGGAGATCTTACATTATGTCCCGGACAAATTTCATAGTGTAAAATTGAAAAAGGGCATTAACTCAAAAATTAGGCAAGGTAGAGTAACTGTTCTGTAACACTGCTCATTTACATACAGTCGACTCTTGTTATCTCGAAGTTATCTGGACCGTAAAATCACATCGTGATCATAACGAAATGTCCAGATATAATTATGAGGGTTTGAACCAGTCAAAAACTCAATTTTACCAAAGACATACGGATACCTTATATTTAAGTCAAATAAACTAAGAAATATGTCTACATGTATAGTGTTTTTTCGAGTCTTATATTTCAAAATTAATAATTAACAATTTGTTAGAGATGTTTAACAGCTGAAATACGACAGTAAGGTCCATGTGATAAAGACACATAGTGATGTTTACTCAGTTATACACCACTAAAACGAAACTTTTGTTGGAAATGATGTGGTCGTTGTTATCTATAGATTCAAGAAATGCTCGAAATGTGTCACATGCCTCGGTCGCGTGTTTTGTCGAAATCTTGTATTGTCATTGTTGAAATCATCATCTACTGAGAGACTCCATTTAATCAAACAATATGTCATTATCAGACATTGCTTCAGTTGCCTGAAGTTTATCGACTATGTTGACATAAACGTCCATTGACAACGTTTTGCCAAGGATGCTAGCGAGCTGATTCAAAGGAATATCATCATTAATTAGCTTCATCTTCAGACTCAATATCTGTTGTCTGAGTAAATGTAAAGCCATCATGACGATAGCAATTCTTAATTGTTGTGTTCGTGAACTGAGACCAGGCATGACGCATCATACGAATAACGTCTGGGACAGAAATACTGAAGTCGAAATCGACTGCTTTTATTTTTAGCTTGTTTTTGGTGTGCCGGGTAATTGTCAATTACCAACGCTTTTTAACGCCCACTGCTAGTGCATTTTCTCATCTTGCTCTCTGAACTACGTTTAAAAGAATTTTGCAGACACCAAAGCTTTCTTGTTTGCTTTATATTGAGT